ATGATTGTTTTTTTTTTTTTTTTTTTTTTTTTTTTTTTTTTTCAAAGAGTCCCCAGGAAGTCTCTCAACATTCGAATCGCAGCTTTCGAAAAGTGCGCTATGGTACATAGTAATTTTATATTTCACTAGCAGCTCCGAATCCCACATGGATCATATATCAACATCCATATCGAACTATCGAAAGGTGACTGAAGTGTACAGCTCATTAAAATATTGTATCTTTCCAGCGACGCTACGCTCTATTTCTACAAATATATATGCACACGGCTCTATTAGACGCCAAGCCGGCTCCTTCTCAGACTAGCACTCTCTTGTTGATCCGCTTTCTTTAACGCAGCTTTGAAATAGGACTTTGCAGACTCAATCTCGTCCGCCTTCAGCGGCTCTCGAGACCGAGGCCTGATCCTCCCGTCTACGGTGACCTCACCAGACGGTGAGGCCTTGTCCTTGGCATTCTGGTGCCGGGTCACGAACGCGGCAAGCTTACTGCGCTGCTTCGTGAGGTCCTGGTACATGTCTCTGGGCACCAGGGCGTAGTTCATCATGTAGTCGTAGGCGGCAATCATGCGCCGCGTCAGCCCCATGATGTCCATGGTAAAATCGCGTCTCTGGTGTTCATTCATGTTCCGTGAGTGCGCATCCCCGAACTGCAGCATTGATTTCAGGTTGATGAAGGAGGGGTTGAGTCGGTCGAGTGCCCGCAGGATCTGCTTGCCTTGTGCTGTTTTCGGGGAGGTGAAGGAGGAGGAGGAGGTGGTGGTGGTTGTGGTCGTGGTGCCAGGTTTGTGTTTGCCATCGTGGCCTGTGATGGCTAGGTCGAGGTAGTTTGTCAGAGCGGGAATGTCAGGTTGGGGAAGAGCCATCTGCATAATATCGAGGATTTTGCCGGCGTTAGTGAAGGCGTTGGGGTTGCGTTTATCGCGGTCGCAGCAGGACATGGCGATGCGGAAGGTTTTGGCGGCCATGTCTTGTTTGGGCATTTCTTGCAGGAGGAGGACGGTCTCGTTGCTAGCTCGTGCTAGCCGAAGCACACGCAAGTAGGCGTGATAGTTTTCAGCGTCGGGGGTCAGGAGAAGCGATTTGGTGAAAATATTCCAGTAAGACACCGCTGGGGCTTTGAGGCGTAGCTGGAGGGCGGCTTGGAGAAGGAGTGAGAGCGTGTTGGGCCCTGGCTTGGCGTACATGGCTATTCCTTCTGCTTTGGCGATCGGGACAATGATGTCCTCGAACTTCGGGTCTGGGCTTGCGGCTCCATCTTGGGCATCATCATCTGGCTGCTCTTCTCGGCTCGACACCCTGCTGTGGAATTCTTTGCCTTGGCTTGCTGGATCCATACGCTGGCGAGCTGGGGACCCGAGTTTTGGAATTTGGCGTGGGATGTTCATGGTCTGCTGGATCAACGAGAATATGTCGTCCCAGTCTTCTTCTTGCCCAATCAGCAGGAGTCGGCCCATTGAAGCTACCAGCTCCTCATCGATCCATAAATCTCCCTTCCTCCACCGCTCCACTACTTCAATCCAGATTTCTCGGGAGCTCGCAATGGCCGCACGTTTGTTCTGTCTTTGCTCCATCGGACTCAGTATACTACGCATCCCTGCTGCAGCGTTGAACCGGATAGCGTTTAAAATAATTGAGAAGCTTAAATTGTTAGGCGACTGGAGCCCCTTCTCGGTGAACTGGGCGACTATGGCAAATAGAGCGTCCATGTTTTTGGCTTTGGCGCACATCTGCAACACGCAGTTCATGTGAATCGTATTTGGCTTGACCTTTGAGTTATCGGCGAACATCGAATTGTAGATGGTCAGAACCTTGGGCAAAGCATTATTGGACTCCTTGTGTGCTACGCAGCCGTTAAATATTGTAGTGTAAGTATAGGCATCGGGTGTCTGAGCACGCTTTTTCATCTGAAGAAATTTATCAGTACGTGAAACTGAATTGTCTGACGGGAGCGAATACCTCATTATAAGTCGATATAGCAGCATTCATTCTCCCTTTGCTCATCTGATATCCTATCAGGTGATTCCAACTAACTACATGAATATCATTCTTGCTGGCCGCCCTGACAAGCTCCTGCACGAAATCAAAGTCGCCAGAGGTTTGCAGCGTCTTCCGCACGTAATCAGCCATTTTCACCGGATCGTTAAGATACTTGAGATGCTGTTGCACTTGGGCCTCTGTTCTTTCTTTCTTTGATTCCTTCTTGGTCGGAGGCCGGATGCCCCTCGAGTCCAGCCATTGCTTCCTCTGTACCAAGCGTGCCGAAGCTCCAGGTCTCTTCTCCTGTCGCGTCCTGTCGAGTCCTGCATCGCGACCTTCGAATTTGCCAGATCGTTCTCTCTCTGTTCGATTGCTCTCCGCCGAATATGTACTTGAGGATTCGCCAAATCTATCCCTCCCTGCTTGGCTTCTCTCGTAGGAAGTACTGTTGTTTCGCCTCAGGGGCCGTCTGCTGAGATTCGAGGTCGAGAGCCGCCGTGATGAAGCTGTAAAATAGGCAGAGTCCCCAATTATGCTCTGCAGGCAATGCCTCATGCATCCGCTGCAGGACAACATTATGAGATGTCGATCCAATGCCAGTGAAGTTGTAGGGCAACAAAAACTTTCTATATTGATAACGTGACGGCGACTTCGGGCCTGACGAGTCAGGCATTCTTGCATTGGCGCTGGCCTCGGTTACAGGGGCTCACGTTGAGAGAGAACGCGACTATTTCGCGACTTGAAGGAAGACTCGCGTAAAGTAACGTTAAGTGCAAAGCAGTCTTTCAGCCCCATCCCCATCGCATTCCCATGCAAGCCTTCACAACAACACAACTTCAAAATTCTTTTCTTTTCACCCCGTCACCCTCATCACCAAGTACTACTATAACAATCGTCGATTGAACACTTCCATAATGTCAAAGGCAGCCAGTGCACGAGAAAAGTTCGCAGAACTCCGAGCTCTCAAGGCGTCCGGCAAGAAGCGTCTGGATACATACCAAGTCCAAGAGGAAGAGGACTTGTACGAGGAAGTCGACGAGGATGGATACAAAAAGGTCGTACGCGATCGTCTCAATCAGGACGACTTTGTGATTGACGATAATGGCGAGGGCTACGCAGATGATGGTCGGGAGGAATGGGACCAGCAGCCAAATTATGGTTCGGCCAGCGAGGAAGAATTACCAGCCAAGGGCAAATCTGGGAAAGCTGGTTAGTTGGCAATTTCCGTAGTAGACTGCGACAAAGCTGACGAGGAGTAGCAAAACGTCAACGCGAAGAAGACAAGGCCAAAAAGGAGAAGATTGAGAAGGGGATAAGCAACTACTTTACCAAGGGTCCAGTTGTAGCTCAGTCAAAAGCAAAGGTACGCGAAATGCAGCAGGATTCTTGAACGTACCTCGCTGACCTCTAGTAGCCCGTCAAAACCAAAGCAGATGACGACTTTCTGGCAGATCTACTCGGCGAAGTCGACACCAACGTACCTCGACCCACTGCTCAATCTTCGAGGTCTCGCAGAGTGCAGGACAAGCGGAAGGCTCGAGCTCTGTCCCCAGGAGTCAGCGAGCTCCCCCGACATACATTGAAGAAGACCAAGGTATCTGACAACAGGGCACCAGCGACAACACATGTTGAGCAAGATTTTGGCGACGATGGGTTTATGGATACTATGGACGACGATATGGTTATGGATAACCCAATGACATCATCTCCGGTTGCCAAGGCAGTTGAAAGGAAGTCGAATGTTGCCGTGAAAGTAGAGGATGACGAGGAAGAGGACACGATGGATGTTGCGCAAGCTGATGGAATCGTAACTGCTCGTGTCAACATTTCCGGTACACGCCCGCCGACAAAGATCAAAAAGGCTGAACCATATCCATCCCCGGCGAGCTCGTCACCAACTCGAGCACCCCCTCAGCGGGTCGATGCGTCGACTTGGAACAACGTGACAGACAGGTTGAATGTTGTGAATGGCAGCCAGGGCGAAACGTCCTCCTTCGGAAAGCTCGATCACACGGATGCGATCGAAGAAGATGGCAGCCTACACATGTTTTGGACCGACTACACGGAAGTCAACGGCAGTCTGTGTCTGTTTGGAAAAGTTCAGAATAAGACGGACAGATCATTTGTCAGTTGTTTTTTGAAAGTGGACAACATTCTCAGAAAACTTTTCTTCCTTCCACGTGAATACCGCCAGAGAGGCGGGCGAGATACTACTGATGAGGTAGAAATGAAAGATGTGTACGAGGAGGTGGATGAATTGATGGGTAAAATGAGGGTTGGCATGCACAAGATCAAGCCTTGTACACGGAAGTACGCTTTTGAGCTCCCTGACATTCCCCGAGAAGGAGAATATCTCAAGCTTCTTTACCCTTATTCTAGTAAGTACTTTCACTATAATATTCTGAACTCAATGACTGACAAGAATTAGAACCTCAATTACAACCCGAGCACCAGACTGGAACGACTTTCTCCCACGTCTTTGGAACTAATACACCACTTTTCGAGCAATTCGTGCTCTGGAAGAATATCATGGGTCCCTGCTGGCTGAAGATTGAAGATGCAGAGTTTGGAGTGTTGAACAATGCTTCTTACTGCAAGCTGGAAGTTCAAGTTTCGAAGCCAAATCTCATCACGGCCTTAAGCGAGAGCGACAACTTGGAGGCGCCTCCCTTGACCCTCATGAGTGTAGCTTTGAGAACCACTTTGAACGTGAAGGAAAACAAACAGGAAATCCTCGCAATCAGCGCTCGAATCTACCAAAACATCTCTCTTACGGACACGACGCCCCCGGACAAGCTCCCTTGCCATACATTCACAGTCATGCGCCCTGCTTCGACCAGCTTTCCCCTCGGGTTCGAGAATGAGGTGAAAAAGAAAGCCAAAGGCATGGTGAAGCTTGTCAAGCAGGAGCAAGAAATCCTTAGCTTTTTCCTTGCCCGGCTTCAAGTGGTCGACCCGGACGTTCTCATCGGTCACCAGCTGGAGGGTGTAGACTTCAGCATCTTGTTAAGCAGACTCCAAGCGAAGAAGACTCCCCAGTGGTCGCGAATAGGTAGAATGAGACGCAGTGCGTGGCCTAGTTCGATGGGAAAGATGGGGGGTAACTTTTTCGCTGAACGAGCTCTTATCGCAGGAAGACTTCTCTGCGATTTAGCCAACGATGCTGGAAAATCGGCAATGTCGAAATGTACATCCTGGACCCTGACCGAAATGTGCAGCATCTACCTTCCTGGAGAAATTCGGCTTGAAATGGACAACGAGCAGGCACTGAAGACTTGGGCAACAACAAAGGACGGCTTGATGGATTATGTCGGTCACTGTGAAGCCGATACGTTTTTTATTGCGGCCTTGGCTCTGAAAGTCCAGCTGCTTCCTCTGACAAAAGTACTCACCAACCTGGCTGGAAACTCCTGGGCCAGAACCTTGACTGGTACTCGTGCTGAACGCAACGAGTATATTCTGCTTCACGAGTTCCATCGTAACAAGTATATCTGCCCCGACAAAGCTGTATTCAAAGGCAAGCATCAGATTGAGGAGGAGAACGCCGATGAGGAGAGCGGGGATGTAAAGAAGAAGGATAAGTACAAAGGTGGTCTCGTTTTCGAGCCAGAGAAGGGTCTATACGATAAATTTGTCTTGGTCATGGATTTCAACTCCCTGTACCCGAGTATCATCCAGGAGTTCAACATCTGCTTCACCACAGTTGATAGATTGAACCTAGTAAGATCATGAAAACCCCTGACAGAAAAGTCCCAAACTGACTAGAGCCACAGTCCAACGATGAGGAGCAAGTTCCAGAGGTTCCGGTGGACCAAGATCTCGGTGTGTTGCCCAAGCTTATCGCCACTCTCGTCAGCCGTCGACGAGAAGTCAAGAAGTTGATGAAGGACAAGACCGCTACTACGGAACAGCTTTCAACTTGGGATATCAAGCAATTAGCTCTAAAGTTGACCGCCAACTCTATGTACGGTTGTTTGGGATATACGAAATCGAGATTCTACGCCAGACCCCTAGCAGTGCTCACTACCTACAAAGGTCGTGAGATTCTTCGTAGCACCAAGGATTTAGCAGAATCCAATTCTCTCCAGGTCATCTACGGAGATACAGATTCAGTCATGATCAATGCGAATGTCGACAATGTAAAGGATGCTCTTAGGGTTGGAGAAGAGTTCAAGAAAGCCGTGAACGAGCGGTATCGACTCCTTGAAATTGATATCGACAACGTTTTCCGGCGAATCCTGCTTCAAGCCAAGAAGAAGTATGCTGCAATCAACTTAGTCCAGGTTGATGGCAAATATGTCGACAAGATGGAGGTCAAAGGTCTCGACATGAAGCGCCGAGAGTACTGCAACTTATCGAAAGAGGTCTCCGCCAAATTGCTCGACGAGATTCTGTCAGGTGATGATATGGAACTTGTGGTGACTCGCATACACGACTACCTTCGCGAGATATCTACCAAGATGCGGGAGGGTGCTGTTCCAACTCACAAGTATACGATCTATACCAAGCTCGGCAAGGCGCCGCAGGATTACCCTCAAGCAGATTCGATGCCCCAAGTCCAGGTCGCTTTGCGTGAGCTGTCAAGGGGCAAGACCGTCCGCAAAGACGATGTTATTGCCTACATCGTCACTGGTGATGGCAAGAACAGTTCTGAAGGGCCTGCGAAACGCTCTTACACGCCTCAAGATGTTTCCAAGGCTGAATCAGGTCTCACTCCGGATGTCGAGTGGTACCTCTACAAGCAGATCTTTCCACCCGTGGAACGTCTTTGTGCGAACATCGCCGGAACTGATACTGTTCGTATCGCTGACTGTCTTGGTCTCGATGTTCGTAAGTATAGCATCAACAATAACAACGCAAATGCTGGTGGTGAGGCTGAGATATCTCCTCTCGAAAGTCAAATCGATGACGAGGTGCGCTTCAAGGATGCATTCAGACTCCGTCTTCAATGCAGGGCCTGCAAAGGGAAGTTCGGATTCGAGGGTCTCGTAGGAAGCCTGGATTCTTGCTCTGCAGCAGGTATCACTTGCCGCTGTGGACACACCTTGTCAAATATCTCCATTATAGCCCAGCTTGAGCATCAAATACGACAGCAGACGAGCAGATACTACGAAGGCTGGTTGGTCTGTGACGATCAAGCTTGCGGCAATCGGACAAGACAGATGAGTGTGTATGGTCATAGATGCTTAGGCCCCAAAGGTCTCGGGCACGGATGTCTAGGCAAGATGCACTACGAATATACGGAGAAGATGATTTACAACCAGCTGCTGTACTTCTCCAGCTTGTTCGATGTGGAGAAGGCGAAGACTGCGGCAAAGGGTACCGAGAGAGGTAAGCATCGACTACCATAATTTAGAACTCACAGCTAACAACTTCTAGAACTTGTGATGGCACTCGTGGAGCATAATAGAGTAAGATTTGGGACATTGAAGGCTGTCGTGGAGAAATACTTGGATAAGTGTGGAAGACAGTGGGTTGCTATGGATAGCTTATTTGGGAAACTTGGTTTCACGGTTTGAATGATTATTCCTGGATGGCGTTTGGATGTTTGGGTTACTTCTACGGCGTTCGTTGTTCGTATAATGGTTATGAATTTAATTCACATTCTCAGAAGTCATGGTTCTATACATAGAACATCGAAGGATTTCTTTATTTGCACGTGGTTAGAGCTTCCTTGTTCTACAACTAGGTATGGCATCTGTTGTTCTCAAAGCTTCGAGAATCCTTACTCGGAATCCTTAGTCCAACAATAGCATTGTTAAGACATAAGCTCCGCTCAAAATCCTTTATGAGAACAACGCATTGTCCGGCCGAACAGACTATTATCTCTCTACAAATACACCCCCACGATCTTATCCCACCAACTCGTAGAAATCTTCTACAGAACCGACGATACAGTAAGTTAAGCTCTCCCCAGTCCCCTTACTCTCACATACACACGCATCTACAGCCCAAATTCAGGATGCCAACCAAATTCTCCAAGCACCTGTCCGCTCTGCCCAGCTGCGCAGCCTACTCATCTAAACGATACAACGACATCGAAGCCCAAGACGGCTTCAAAATTATCGACCTGGGACCCCTTCCTCCCCTCCCTCAGCAGGCTGAGGGCGCGAAATACGCCTTCCCTCGTACACACAGCCAGCAGCAAAAGAAGACCCTGCGCGCCCGCGGCCGCCAACACATCAACACAGTGAAAGAATGGTGCGGGAACAACCCGCGCTGGACGTGGCTTCTAGTCGCCTTACTGCTCACGGTTGTTGTCGTTGGTGGCACGTTGCTCTGCTGGGTGTTCTTGTCGCTAGGCCCGGATGAGGCGCGGACGCCCGAGTTTCTGGACGCTGTGAATGATGTTCCGGGGTTTTCGCCGGGCCATCATCATCGATGAGTGCTTCTCTGTCAAGGAATGCGGGAAAGAGAGCGAGATGGAGATAAGTAGGCGAATAGGTCAGTGAGAGAGCGAGATTTCGCGAAATATATTTTTTTCTGCGAGAAGATGAGTTACAGTCTTATTAAACATGACGTGTGGCGAGTTAAAGAATGCTAACGTGACAAATTTGCAGAAACACCATGATATCCCATACGAATAAATCAAACGGTAAAGTCAGAGCAGGATGGCAATGGAGTTGTCTATACTAACACTGCTTAGCGCACCCGATCCGTGAATTGCTGCCCTCTACCGCCTAACAAAAAAGCGGACATGATCAACGAGTTCTGAACCTCGATTTTATCGGAACCAAGCTCCTTGTGCTGTGTGGCCAATACCGCAAAGATGGTGAACATTACGGAGAAGATCAAGGAGCAAGTATTTGTTGCGAAAACAGCAGGTTCTTCAGCTGACTTCAATGCAGTATCGAGGAGGAGATGAGAAAGACGCAGAGTGAGTACCCCGCCGTGCCCCTCACATGACCAAAACACGTGAAGTAGATAGGGACTAACTGGGTTATAGAGAATAAGGCTACTGGTACGCTCTCGTGTACTTCGAAGTGGTGATAGTGATAACTCATCTTTGAAGAATATCATCTTGGTCTCCTTAAAGGGTAAGTGACAGTACCCATCACTCAACCCGACCGCTCACTCACAACAAGCACAGAAAACTCGCCCGCTACAGAGCCCAACTCCTGGAGCCTGGCCCTGGCTCAGGAGCAGCAGGCGGTCCTGGGTTCGACGTCCAGAAGTCTGGCGACGCTCGTATCGCCCTCGTCGGCTTCCCCTCCGTCGGAAAATCCACCTTCCTGTCCAAAATCACCAAGACCAAGTCCGAAGTCGCCGCCTACTCCTTCACCACCCTGACTGCCATTCCAGGAGTCCTCGAGTATGGAGGCGCTGAGATCCAAATCCTAGATTTGCCTGGTATTATTGAGGGGGCAGCTGAGGGCAAGGGCAGAGGTAGGCAGGTCATTAGTGCCGCCAAGACAAGTGATATGATCCTGATGATTTTGGATGCGACGAAGAAGGCGGAGCAGAGGCGTTTGCTTGAGGCCGAGTTGGAGGCTGTAGGGATCAGACTGAATAGGGAGCCGCCGTATGTACTGCTCTTCCTTTTGCCTATTCTCCATCTTACGTCTCGACCTGTGTCGTATGAATGGAGCGCGATGTGTCAAAAGATGTTGACGATAGCAGAAACATCTACCTGAAGCCCAAAACCGCCGGCGGCATGAAAATCACCTTTCAAAACCCCCCGAAGAACATCGATCAAAAGATGGTCTACAACATCCTACGCGACTACAAAATCCTCAACTGCGAGGTCCTGGTCCGGGACGAAAACGTCACCGTCGACGACTTCATCGACGTGATCATGAAGGACCACCGCAAGTACATCAAGTGCCTCTACGTCTACAACAAGATCGACTCCGTGTCCCTCGATTTCCTCGACAAGCTGGCCCGCGAACCCAACACGGTCGTCATGAGCTGCGAGCTCGACTTGGGCATCAAAAACGTGGTGGACCGGTGTTGGGATGAGCTGAAACTCATCAGGATTTACACGAAGCGGCAGGGCGTGGATCCGGATTTTGGAGAGGCGCTGATTGTGAGGAGTAAGAGCACGATTGAGGATGTGTGTGACCAGGTGCATCGGACGCTGAAGGATACTTTCAAGTATGCGCTAGTCTGGGGGGCGAGTGCGAAGCATGTGCCGCAGAGAGTGGGCTTGGGGCACATGGTTGCGGACGAGGATGTGGTTTCAATTATCAGCAATTGGAAGGCATAGATAGTGGTGGGTGGGAAGTGGTCGTTGGTTTTTGAGATGAGTGTAGATGCCAATTGCAAACACGTTACCTCCTGTTGCGTTTTGTTCTCTTTGAATCATTGCTGATCTGAGAGAGAATCGTGTGCAGAGGAGCGAGGTTGCGAAGCCTAGCGCCTGAATTGTTATGAAATTCATAAACTATGGCTGGCATGAATACTCGAGACTGAATGTATCTGTATCCGGACCTTGTCTGCCTCCTTGTTTGATTCCAAATGTCGTAATTTGAAAAAGGTGCGGTGAACCGTAGAGCACATCTGACTCGAATGATGTGGCAGCACTTGCCAACAACCTACCTATGATAAGTGTCATATACACCATCGAGAGAAGGTGTAGAGAAGGTCAATCATTCCATAGGCCTGCGCGTGTCTAAACCCACTACCACTACCGATTCAGACCAAGCATGTAAGCATAAACGAGACGCGCCGCCCTTGGCCAGTACAAGAACTCCAGTACCCAATGCCATTTGTGCCTAGGCAAACCCTTTTCGTTCCCAAGCCCGTCGTAATATCACCCGCCCCGTCAACAAGCCCATGTCTTGCGTCAGGATATCCCAGCCAAGCTCCGTGTCGTAAACGAATTTTTGTGTTTTGACGATAACCATTCAGCCAAAGGATAGAAGATGAGAGAAAGACAGAATGAATGTATTCCATCCTCGCTCTGCATTATCAGTCCTATTGTGGGTGGTTCGTCTAAGGAAAGAAGGAAATATCGTACACGCGCTCATGTGATAAAAAGAGGGTTTGAAGAAGGGTATCTGCCGAGTTGTTGCGAGAATTTCGAGAGCGAAGAACCCTGTTTATTGGCCTTCCATCTTCTCATCCTCGCCGTCGGTGTTGGCGTTAGGGACGGGTTTGGATGCGAATAAGCCGCCGCCGCTGGCACCGGCACCGACACTGAGGTTCTTGGACGAGGTCTTTGCGAAGAGGGACTTGGGCTTGGCTCTGTTGTTGTAGCATCATGATCAGTCCGGTGCCATGTAACGGAATTTTAGGTGTACGGAGGAGAGAGGGGAAAGAGAACTCACTTTCCAACTTGCTTGCTGCGGTAGGCACTGAGCTTTGCGGTGCAGGGGCTCATGATGTTGTCGGAGGGGGAGATGTATGTTTGCTTTCCTCTGCGACCGCGGATCTTCATTAGTCGTTGCGCGCCTCCGGAGCAGTGGGTAGGAATTTATTAGACATACTGAGACTCCTCAAGCTTGGACTGCAGGACCTGGCGGTGGTACTCCATGCTTTTGACGTCGCCCTTCTCTTGATTAGGCTTGTACTCGGGGATCTTGGTCGCAGCGGAGGCGTTGATGTCCCGGTCGGCGAGGACGTTGGAAGACATATCGGACGGAAGGCTGTAGAGTTTTTGTTTTGTTTATGTACTTAGGTAGGAGATTGTAGATTGGTACTGTGCTTCGGTACTGAAGAGGGAATCTCGGAGAATTGATGGGGTTGTGGAGTGCGGATGCGATGGTGAGGAATTTGTGGTGCGGTGCGGTCAGGTTCAGATTTAAGTAAGTCGGAACTTAAAGGGACGCGATGTCAACAATGGCGTTGCTACCTCAACCAACGCATTGTCCCGCCCGCAGTGACGATTGCCACTACCAAACCAAGCCATGTTCGTGGTATGATCGGGGAATCTAAGAGTCACACACACTTCGTTGTTGCTTTAACGTTTCTTTTCTGGCATAAAATCTCATTCCTCAAAGGATATATTGAAATTTATAGGAGCTACAGGTTACATCAAATTGAAGAAAGCAGAACTCTTCAGAGCTTGGACTGTGGCCCTGGCTGCGAGAGGCTGACCTTGTATTCAGCAAACATCCTCTTGGTGATCTCTGCCTGTCTTAAGATCAACTCAGTACTCTCCTTTCCTCTCTTGTTCTCGTTACGTCCCAATTGTTGCAAGTGCACCTCATCAGGTCCATCAGCCAATTTCAGTGTTCTGATATTTGACCACATATTAGCGAGGGGGGTATCTTGGGAGACCCCAGCAGCTCCGAACGATTGCACAGCACGATCGATGACGGTCAGTCCCATGCTGGGGACGAGAACCTTGGCTTCTCCAATCTCCTTGAGGGCTCCTTTGGCTCCGAACACGTCAACCTTTATAGCAGCGTTAAGGACAACCAAGCGAGCTGCATCGATCTCAATCCTGGACCTGGCAACCCACTCGAGAATAACACCATGATCCTTCAATTGCTTGCCGAAGGTTGTCTTTCTAGGGTCGTTAATGCGGACAAGCATCCATTCAAGGGCTTGCTCAGCCTATAGCTTTTAGTAAGAAGTCAAGCGATGTGAAGGTCAAATACTTACAGCACCGATCGTGCGCATGCAGTGGTGAATCCGTCCTGGGCCAAGACGTCCCTGGATGATCTCAAATCCTCGGCCAAGACCAAGAACAATATTCGATGCTGGTACGCGGACGTTTTTGAACGAGATGTGACCGTGGCCGTGGGGAGCATCATCGTAGCCGTAGACAGATAACATTCTCTCAATGGTGACACCAGGAGTGTTAGCTGGAACCAGAATGACTGATTGCTGCCTGTGCTTGTCCGAGTTCCCAGGATCACTCTTCGCCATAACGATGTAGATCTTGCAACGTGGATCACCAGCTCCACTTGACCACCATTTCTACCAGGCATCAGCAGCATATTCCAGCCCAAAATCATAGAAGACTTACCTGTCCGTTCAAAACCCAGTCATTCCCATCCTTTACCATGCTCATCTGAATGTTCGTCGCATCAGATGAAGCAATGTGCGGTTCAGTCATCAAGAAAGCCGATCGAATATCACCATTCAACAACGGCTGCAACCACTGCTTCTTCTGCGCTTCATTCCCATACTTCGCCAAAACTTCCATGTTCCCTGTATCCGGAGCTGCACAGTTAACGGCCTCAGATGCAACCCTAGACTTGCCGAGATACTCTGCCATCAACCCATACTCGAGATTCGTGAAGCCTGCTCCCTCCTTGTAGTGGCCCTTGGCCAGGAAAAGATTCCACAGACCCAGCTTCTTTGCCTCAGCCTTAAGATCGTCGATAACAGAGGGGTAGTGGTCCCAGCGGTTCGAGCCTGATTGCTCGATTTGTGCGGCGAAGATGGGGTCGGCGCTGTCGATAGATGGTCAGCTTGTATTGATAAATGGTGCCGATTCAAGATGCCGGACCGCCATTGATCGATTTTGAGGAGGCAGGTTGCTGAATAGAGCTTACGGAATACATCTCTCCTCCACAAACTTCTTCACAATATCGAGAGTCTTCTTTGCATGATCACTGACTCTGTCCGCAGCCTGTAAAGGCTGTTAGTCTGGAAGTCCGAAGGCGGCGAAGGCGGGGAAGCAGAGTGGTCTCTCACAAGAATTGGGATTTGGGCCGACATTTTTATTGATTATCGTGTTTATACTCTCTGGATCGAATTTCGAAGAGCCTGCAGTCTCAATTCCAAAAAGAAAAATAAGAGTAACAAAAGGTATTATCAGACCGAGGAGGGACTGGAGGACACACTGGGTTACTTTTACCTCAACCCAGGTTCCTCCACACTCAACGGAAGTATCTCGGTTGCCTTGGGTTTGCCAGGCCGAGGTCCCTTGGAGAAAGGAAGCTCCACCTCGCCACCAACATATTGCGCTTATTCGAAACTTCGAGGCTACAACGCCTCGGTTTGCCTTTTCACCCAAGTCCTAACTCACCTAAGGTACCGAGGCACTCAGCTAAGTTTGCTTTTAGAATTCTTTCATTGGAGTTTTATCCTTTGCTGAGTCGAGTCCAATGCATCTAACTATACGGTATTCGCACTTTTTCCGGAACATCAATTAGTCCGTACGTGGTCCAAATAATGCGTGAAGGGTATTACTGAGCCATGGACCAATCAATGGCTCCGAGATGTGTGCGAAGAGAGTACCGGTACTTGTGTGGGCACCCGGCGGCCTTGCGGTGTAGTATCGACCGGGACTCCAATCCAGCGGTATGAATGCCCGAGAATGGTAGACAATAGATCACAATAACGGTAAATGTGCGTGAGATGGAAAAGAGAATTGCCCAAGTTATTATTGGAATCTTAAATTTATCAGAGCAAACGCCTCACTGATGCAAACTACTATTCCTTTCCATTTCTTACTATTCTCAGACCCAGAACTTCAGCTCCGTCAAATAAGATCAAAGAATAGCAAATGACTGCGTACCGTAAATAAAACTCAGTCCGCAAAGTAATCCGCTCTGCGCTTCCCATTTCCCTTGGTACCGTTCTTGAAGTGCTTCTTGCTCGTTAACATCTTGATATCCTTCGGATCCAAGTCCTTCTCTAACGCCAGAAGAGTCTTTTGCTTGCGCCCGGACAGTTGCTTGCCGCTAGCAGTTCCCTGCTCGCTGTACTTGTGGTTGAATGGCATTCGGAGGTGTGCAGAGTTACCTTGTCCTTGAGCGAAGAAAGTACTGTCTAGCTTCTTGGACTTGCTTCCAGTCTCTATTGGGATCATATCTGAATCGGCGACCGACGCTGTCTCCTCGGTATGAGCATCCATCGATGACAGTGCTAGCCGCCTTTTCTCAGGAAGGTGGCCTTCGTCGTAGAGCTCCTTGTTGAACTCAATTGGGTCGATATCCAAAGGTGGCGGCTGACAGAAGAGAAGCTTGCCACTGACATAATCTTTCAAGATATATCTCGCGGCTCGCGACTCATCAGGCTGACCTTGACCTGTTCTCGTGAAACCTCTAGCCTTTGCGTATGCAGAAAGAACTTCCTCGGCAGTAGGAATTCCGGTTCCACCTTCCTCGATGGGCCTGATCTTAATCTTCATTCCGTACAAGGCCTCCAAGAAATGTTGAGGAATACGTTTGGCGACGAGCCCGGCTGGACCTGTGAACTCTCTCAGCTGATCAATGGGGAGAATACCATTGCAAACGAGCTCTGCCTTGGTCGTGGCGAAATTTGGGAACACAAGACCAGGGCAATCACAAAGTAAAACCTTGTCGCTCAGATGAATAGTCTGGAAATGCTTTGTCTTTCCTGGCGTGGAAGAGACGGAAACTTTCTTGGATCCGATCAGCGCGTTAATAGTAGATGACTTTCCAACGTTGGGATATCCGACAAGGCCAATTTGTGTCTTTCTGGGGCCCTCTGAGTTGACATCTATGGAATGTTAGAAAGCCCGCAACAGGGTAGGTAGCATTCGAAAACTCACCAAGATTGTCTGGAGCATGTAGCAGGAATAGAGCTTCAAGTTCATCAACTGTCAAAATCCTCGTTCTCTCGTCTTCGGCTTCTTCATCCTCCTCGTTGGACTCCTCATCATCCTCGATTTTAAGAGCTTGGGCCTTTTCTGTAAGCTTTTGCACGGTTGGCTCTACCTCTTTCCTAGTCTCATCTTCTTCATCTTCAGAATCAGAGAAATCCCGGGTCTCGTTCATCTCCTTGGCCAGACTGGCAGAGAAGAATTTGTATGCAATTCCGGCAGCTTCGAAGTAATCAGCCCAGGACTGACGTTGGCCAAAAGTCAACATATCCGCCTTGTTCACAAGCAGAAGATTCTCTTTTCTCGAGTCGACGGCCTTGACATATTTCTCCAAATCATCTGAGCGAAACAGCAGAGGATGGCGAGCGTCAACAATCTGTACCACCAAGTCCGACCTCTCAATAACTCTCCACAATTGTCTCCAGACCTCCAAATTCCGCTCGAAGGGTGTCATAAGCAAATCATTGTTCTCTTGCAACTCTGCAAGACCTCTACGCCACTCCAGCAGACTATCTCTCTCTGCTCGGTCTAATTGCTCAGGGGTTGTGGACGCATCCCAGTGCGGCCTACGAGGTACTGTGAGTCTATCCTTGTGGGCCTTCTGCTTTCCGACAGCCGCTCGCTCCTCTGCTGCTGATAACAGGTATGGGTTCTTCTGATCGGTATGGATAATCTTGACATTGTTCATCTTCTCGGCGGTAAAGTCGGTACCTGCCAGCTCTGCTGTCGACAGGAACTCATCGAGGGCTGCCTGCTCTGTCACCGATCGCATCTTGACCCAGCTGGCCTCCTTTCGCTCGTTGGTAACATACTTGAAGATGTCAGCTCAGTCTCATGCCTCTGTGGGTACCATGCCTACGGTCTCTCCAGTAGCATGGTTGATTCTGTGGATTCCTGCAGATGTGACCTTCTTCCGGTCTGAACCTTTGCCTTTTCCAAATCGATCATTCATCAAGCTACGGAACCCATGAGCACATATATTTAAGGGCTGTGCGAAATGAACGAACGAACCTGTTTCCCAGCCCAACGGCATTTTTAGATTTTGCAAGAACCATCTTGACTTGATTATCTCTAGTGAGTGTCGCTGGTGAAGGTAAATTTCTTTCAATCTCAAAATACCTTCTTTATGCTTTGATGGAAAAATTTCCGTCGAAGTTGTGTGGTGGGGGTGGGATGAGGCAAATGACGCAAATAAGTACTTACTTGACCCCACTTCAACCTAGTCTCAAAAATCTCATAATAATTTTTAATTTTTAACCAATTCTCAACACGTCCCAAAATACCACAACCGTCGAAATGCCTCGCAAGCAGTGGATCGATAAGAAGACTGCGACACATTTCACAGTACTTCATCGGCCTCAAAATGATCCGCTCATTCACGATGCGTCGGCATCCTCGATGATCCTGAATCCCACGGTCGCACTCAATTCAACCAAGTCCAAGAAAATTGACGATCTCGCCTCGGAACTTGGCTCAGAACTCAACAATATCAGAGATAATGAAGGAGAGGCTGCGACTCATGGGATCTACTACGATGACACCGAGTACGACTACATGCAGCACATGCGGGATGTTGGAAGTGGTTCTGGCGACGCACATTTCGTAGAAGCCCAGACTGCGCAGAACAAGGGGAAGGCGAAGCAGCAGTCCTTGGAGGATGCATTGAAGAACGCGAGTCTCGAGGATAGAGCACGCATGCTCTTGGACGATGAGATTCTGCCCTCGAAGAATTTACGGAAGGTCACATACCAGGCACAGCAGGATGTTCCGGATGTGCTTGCGGGCTTCCAGCCAGACATGGATCCACGATTGAGAGAGGTTCTCGTTGCCCTTGAGGATGACGCATATGTTGATGATGAGGACGACATCTTCGGAGAGCTTGCCAAGGATGGAGAGGAAATCGATGAGGAAGAATTCGAGCATGGTGCCTGGGATCACGAAGAGGATGGCGGTTGGGAGTCGGACGACACTGCAAAGCCTACCAAGGACTACCGTGAGGCTCCCAAACCGACTCCTGAGGTGGTAAATGACGAGCGAGAGGATCATGGCGACGGCAACTGGTTGGCGAACTTCATCAAGAGGGACCAACAAAAGTCGAGCCCACGTGCTGCACCGTCAGACGCCCAATCTTCAATGATGACTACGACTACGAATGGAGGTAGACGAAAGAAAAGAAAGGGGGCTTTGACGAACCCGTCCAATTACTCGATGAGCTCTTCTTCCATGTTTCGTACCGAAGGTCTCACCGATTTGGATAAGCGATTCGAGAAAATCGAAGAGAGATACAACGAGGACATGGACGATATGGCATCTGTTTCCATGTCCTCGACTGCGTCAAGTGTCACTGGGCCCGTTCGAGGAGACTTCGACAGCATTATGGATGATTTCCTCGGAAACCACTCGATGAGTGGGAAGAAGTTCGTCAAGAAGGGCAAGTACCAGAGCGGAATGGAGCAACTCGATGAGGTTCGGAAAGGACTCGGCCCTGCGATCATCCGGAAACAGCGAGCTTGAGGGAGACTTCGGTAGGCATCGAAATTAGGCGTTTAGTGGGAAAAGGGCACGGGATGGCGCTAACAGGGAGTAAACGATACCTCTGCCCAGGACCGAGGAAACAATTTCCGCATAATAAGCTGCGCCATGGATGGCTGATTACTTTTTCAACCAACCAATTCTTTTCAAAATGTCTTTTTCCGAGCTTCGATAAGTCTATAGCTTCTTCAGCCAAGCCCTCTTCCTTATCGAGAGTGATATCCGCATTGTCCCAACCAAAATCCTGCAAGGCATCTACAACAGGCATATCACAAATTTGATGAATGGTGGTTTGTAATGATGAGTTTTGAGGCTCCTCGCACTCTTTGCTTCATGTATGACGGGTTGGGGTGCTGAGGTGTTGAGGTGTTGGAGAACAATGGGACTCGGCCGTGAAATCTTCAAGAATGTCCGGCTCTTGGGACGAATTCGAAATTTAGAAGTCGTCTACATAAACGGCGGTATGGATCCTTCGGCTATCGATGTACAAGGAGGTCAACGAACGACGAGGCCTGGTACTTTTCTTATGAAAAATATTATCGAGCTCCGTGAATTCTTTCAGGGCAAAAGTGTTTTGGCGAAGTACCCGGAAGCCTCGAGGATAGGTACCCTCCAAGCAATTTCTTGTCTGCATTTACTCGAATGTCCTATGCATTATATAGATATGAAGCTATTCAGCATAAACACAAGCCACCACCCCAATATCCTACGAGTAAACTTTCGCCAGTTTGAAATGTCATTGTTATGAATCTTTCGTGGTATCAGCGCCACAATTACCTTCTATCCTCCCTAGCAGACCCGAATCCTATAAAGCCATTTCTGCACCCCCTTCTTCACATAGATCTTACTGCCAAGACGTCTGCTTTTGAATTCTGTGAAATAGGAGATGATGATCATTGTGGGCCGTCAAAGTAACTCGAGCATCCCAAGGAAAGCCTTATTCGTACTACTTGTCCAAATTGGTGCTTTGAGTATTCTTCAAATCGCCTTTACTACTTGACATGCTTAATTCGATCGCTGATCCGTCCGGCTTATCATCCATCCCATCACACATCTCACCAGAAAAAAAAGATTTTCTGGTCGCTCCTCCGGAAATGGTGGTGGTTATATCGGCCACACGCTCCACTTGGATATCAAGACGTTGGGAAGGGTGCACTGAGGCATCTATAATCGGAGGAAACGTTGAAGTTCCTTGGTAACCTGATGTATGTCGTCATCCTCGTATAGCCGAATATGAGGCTGAAAGCGCGGAGTGGGGCCGCTTTCGGCTAGCACCCATGGTCGTGAGAGCTTCAATGGTGAACACCAAAGACCCTCTGTTCGGATGAGTGAATAGACAACGAGGGCCACTACGCCTAAGCGAACGAAAATTTTCATCCCACGAATGTACTTAATAACTCCTCGACCTCGTTGCGACTCACCCTCAATGAACACCGACAATGCAAGAGCTACTCCAAGGTAGCAATCGCAACCCACGCTCCCCAATCCGTTCAACGAGAGGAAGAGATCAAGACACGATGAGTCGAGGAGCTTCAAGCTCCAGTAAGTTCAAGGACGACCACTATGCTCTGCTGAACCCCTCTGCTCCACGCGCAATGCGCGACAAGTCGAACACCCACCAGTCGAATTATCGTGGTAAGAAGAAAAACTTCAGGGACAATTACTCAAAGATTCATGCAGATTCACCCTCAGGACCTACCTCTCCAAACAAGTTCGAAAAGGAGCGACTCGAGAACGCGGCAAAGCGAGCAGAGAGGGATCAGAACGGCAAGAGGGGCAATGGGCGAGGCAGAGGTGCCGGAGGCCGTGGTCTGTATACCAATAAATCTGTCCGCTTCTCAGACGCGACCACCGAACCAAAATCAGGCGTCTTCACCAAGGAACCTTCACTTAAGCCAAATCCTTTTGCGAAGCCTGCAACGGTAGCATTCCCCTTTGGCATACCATCAACCACACCCAACCCCTTCGGCGCGACTTCGACCCCATCCACCACAACTCTTATCAACCCATTCGCGACAGCCTCGAAGCCAGATGCAGCAATCAACCCTATCGGCAACTCTAGTACGATGTCGAATCCATTTGGCGCGTCTTTAAGTGCTCTTTCGAAAGCAGACACGGGATTCAACTTCAACAAATCAACCGCGTCCTCCACTGGCTTTGGCGCCCCCTCACAAACTCCTTCTGCAAAAAGCTCGAGTGCCTTCGGAGCACCAACTACAGACACATGGGGCAAGCCATCTGCTGGAGTGTTCGGTGGGGAACCGGCACCCAGCCCTCTTGCCGTACCTTCTTCGATGAGCTCTAACGCGCCAGTGCCCTCCTCGAACCCTTTCGGCGCTGTTACAAATACACCCCCTACTGGTTTTTCTTCAAATCAAACGAACGCATTCGGAGCTGGTGCAGGTAAAACTACAAGCGTATTTGGGTCTGTAAGTAATGGGTTTGGTGGGAAGAGCTCCGGGGTTTTCAACAACGCTAGAGCATATGGAGCGATGTCGACACCAGGCCCCACCTCATCATCAGGTTCAGCCTTCACATTCAACTCTGCCGCTTCGGACTCAAACACATCGTCCACGTTCAATTCTCCTGCTACCACAAAGCCTGCTACTGGTTCCCTTGCCGCCAAGGTCGTAAAGGTGTTGGAGAAGGATCGCATCGTCCCGCCCAAAATGCCTTCCTACGACCTGATGTTTGCGCGTCAATTGCTGGGTGTTCCGGAGCTGATGAAGTATCTGAACGAGTACAAAAAGTATCAGAACAAGGTCCGGACGGCTCTCATGCGGGAGGGCGTAATTGACGATCCGGAAAAGCCAAAAAGTTTAGCTGATGCTATCGACTTCAAGGGCACTTGCGAGGAAATGTGTCCGCAGCTCGAGAAGATTGAAAGACTGCTCGAGGGAAGAGTCGATGCTTGTGAGAAGGGTTTACAACCAGATGGCACCCTGACTCGCCACGCAATGATGGAAAAGATGGTTAAGATCCATGCACGCTCCTCTGCTGGCCAAGACGCCCCTTTACCAAGCGAGGTGCGAACAACAGCAGCCCTGAGAAGAACTGTCGACTACTTGATGAAGGATGTCTTGGCAGAGGAAAATCTCCCCCAGGTCCATGGCTTTCTCTGGAACCGAACACGAGCCTTGAGACGGGATTTTGTGTTCCATTCCTTCATGACCTCGACCGAATTGCTTGATCAGGTTTACTGTCTCGAGACAATCGCCCGCTTCCATACCTTGGCACTACATCTTATGTCCAAGCCGGGGAACTATTCCGAGGCCTTCGATACTTACCAAGAATTCGAACAACTCAGCAACACCATGATCTCACTTTTGCAAGCGTATGACGACTGCAAAGCAAATGGAGTTTCTTGCGAGAACGAGCCAGAGTTTCGGGCATATTCGATCCTCATCCAGCGAAAGACTCACCCAGGGCTTCTTGATATGGTTCAGAGCTGGGGATGGGATGTCTACAACGGGAAAGAAATGAAAATTGCGCTGAGCTTGGTGGAAGCTCTAACTAACATATGGGAGGTGCAAGGCCCTCTCACCCCCGCTGCGCAAACGGATGTTGCGCAGAATGCCTCTGCTCGATACTTCGATATTGTCAAAGACAAGGGCACTTCATACACCATGGCTTGTTTTGCTGAGATATGGTTCAACGACGCTCGAGAGGCCATTGTGAGAACAATTATCGCCTCCTACCGTAAACAGAGAGACCAAGTCAAGCATTGGACACTTTCGAGACTCAACGAATACCTCCGATTCGATGACGAGGAGGATATTCTACCATGGGGCAAAGCGCGCAATATGACTTTTGAAGAGGCTGACGGCGTTACATATCTATCCTTGGAGCTCGGGAGCGACATTTCCCATCTGCAGAAAGGGAAGCAATACCACTCTTATCCTCTTGTGGAGCGGAAGCGGGGGAACCACTCCCTGTTGGAGGTTCTGTACCACACAGTCTACGAGGAGGCTGGTAGTGAGGATACAGGTACCGAAGAGGAAGACGACGGGCTCTTTGTGAAGCAAACGCCTGCAATTGATCTATGGCCGAAGCCAGCCGTGGAACCCGAAATTCAACGACCTGCTTTCTCGTTTGTCGAGACCTCTTCCCCGGCCGTCCCTGAGATTGTTTCAACTCCAGCACAGGAGACGCAGCCCAAACCAGCCTCCATTTTTGATCGCTTCAGCCCTCTCAATGGCTCAGGAGTCTCCGCAGCTGCGCCAGTCGCGAATTCCCCCCCAGTTGGGAACCAGCAAAACCTGGAAGAGCTCAAACCAACCTCGGCATTCTCCTTCCCACCAACAAATGGAGCTTCTTCACTTTTAACACAACAACCAGCCAGTGTAGGATCATCAGTCTTTGACAGACCCACTGTGAAAGGGGCCACTTCCATCTTCTCGCAGACATCAGCACCAGCAACGCCCGCTGCAACTCAAGCTCCTCCCCTTTTCTCCTTCACATCGACGACGGTTACCGCGCCCGCTACCCCTCATTTGGTACCTACATCACTTGGTGTTGAAGCCGCGTCTTCTGGACCGGCAGCTCCCTCTTTCTTTCCAAAACCGCAGTCTCCTAATCTTCCAGAGCCTGTTTCAGAAAGCCAAGGACCTCGAGAATCAGTCTTACAACCTCAAACTTTCCCTGCTCAACCTTCACCACTTGCAGGCGTATTTGGTACACCGTCCACACTGGCACCTACGCAGAATTCTTTGGCAAATGTATCGCCGCAGCTGCAAAGTACCACACCGAAGGACTCGCCCATACCAACTTTTCCAAGCTTCCCTACTGCCCAACAAGCTTCAATCGTAGTTGCCGAGCCACCTCCACCACCTTTTGATCCGTGGGAATGCTTTACAAACTGGTACGCTTTAGGAAATGAGGGTGTTATGGATCAGTTCGTTTCTTGGGAAATCGAAGGGATCCTGCGCAACGCAGTTGCACAGTTCCAGGAAGAGGAGAACCTCAAGGCTGCAAGAAAGGCCGATGAGATGGCGCTGGCTGAGGCGGACCGCTTCAGAGCGAAGAGGTTGGCCACGAAATATGGCCATATTTGGTTTACTGTGACTCGTCGTATGAGTCTGAGGCGGAGAGGCAGAGAGGCAAGAAGACTTCGGCGGGAAGCTGCAGAGGAGTCGGCTGCAGCCAAAAAGTCAGCGGCGGCGAACATGGTGGAGGATTTTAAAGCGTCTACCACAACAGCCCGTAGAAAAGACAGCCTGGAAAGCCTCCTTGGGGCAACGGGTGTCTTGACTGGTGTCCACGATTCGAGTGGTAATCGCGCGATTGTGCAGCCAAACCAGAAGCCCGCACTCAAACGACAGCGATCAGACTGGTCTCTCAACAGCCTCTCTTCCAGCGTGAGCAGGCACAAGCGTGGCAGGTCAGACGATTCACTTCGTCGCTCCCTGATGACTGGTGGATCAAGAATACACTTGATCCCCAACTATACCCCTCAGGACGAACACCGACCACAGGTGAGCGGTGTGCAGACCGATTATTTCCGCTTGAAGGCAAGAGGCATCTCTACCCTTCCCAATGGAACACCTCTCGCAAGCTCGGTTGCGAAGATGTTGCACCCAAAGCGCTCTTTCGATGGTTTCATCAAGCCGTCGACACCCCGCCGCCAGTCAAGAGAATTCTCGGCACCAAGAAGTGTGCCAGCAAACCCCGCTGTGGGGCGCCTAGTGGAAGATCAACCGGATGATATTGATTTCCTGAAGGCAAGAGCCAGGGCTGTGATGTCGGAGGATAAGATGTCACGATCAAAGAGGTCATTCGATGACGACGAGGAAGCGCTGTTCGCACGTGCAAAAAGAGTTCGTGAGCAGATGGATGAGGGAGAGGAATTTTATAGAAGAGAGCGCGAGAGATCGTCCTTGAGTGGGAGTGGGTCATAAGCGTGGTTGTGCGCATAGCAATATGGAGTTTAGGGCAAAGCTTGGAGAAATTTTTGTTGCGCGATTTGCGCGGGCGTTCAGTGGAAATGGTGCATTTACAGAGAGGCGTTTCATGTGGTATTTTGGCTGGGTGGAAGGATGAGAGAGCTTTGTATAGAGAGCACAAGGATACCCGTTTTGGTCTGTAGGATGGAATGAGCCTCTCTGCGTACGAGGAATGACTATTATGGCTTTCTTTTCCTCCTCTGTAACCTGTATCTCTCTGCGAACTCGCCGTGTTGCTTCAAGTTCATTCCCTCCCTCACCTGCCCCATCCTTCATCCCGGCAACCCAGTATCCTCAGTATCCTCGGACGCCCGGCCAGATTCCAACTGTGATTTCGTACACCTAGCTCGCTACCCATCTATCAACTTACCTACCCCCTTCCTCCCCCTTGTGTTCCAGATACTCAGACTCGGCTCACGAATAGAATACTCCGCATCCAAGCATCCTATTACCGGCCCGGAGCCCGGAGCCCGGAAGCTCTCTCTCTGTTATTTCCTCTTATCTTCTCTTCTCTTCTTTTATTTTTCATTTCCTCTTCTTTTCTTTCCCCCCTCTCTAATCTTCACTTTTTCCCTTTCCTAGCCCTGAGATTCCATCCATCCATGATGCAAATCCCGCACCCGCATAAAAAAGTCACACACCCACCACCACCACCACCACCTTGAGGGCCTCCCTAGGATAGGCAGATAAAGAGATCACATCATGAGTTCCGAGACGAGATGAGACGAGACTACCAATCACCTACTCTTTCTGGAGTATGGACCCGATGCGTTATTATTCAGTACTTGAATGCAGATATCGATCACGCTATGTGGAGAGGATAAGCCGGTGTGGGAATAGGGATAGGTGGTGCTCTCGGGGGTTGGTTGCTGGAGAGAGAGAGAGAAAGAGAGAGGGTGAGAGAGAGAGGGTGGAGGTGCCGGTACTACTTACTTGGCTTGCTTGCTTCAACCAGGAAGGAAGGCATGGATGGACGTCACCGACTGATCACAGGGCATTCCATTCCATTCCATTCCATTCCACCCTTCAAACTCATGAGCTCTTCCTTTATCTCTCCTCTCCCTTTCTTGCCCGGCCGAAGGACTAGATTGGCAACTATAGATGGGCAAGGCAGGCCCGCAGGTAGGTAGGCAGGCAGGCAGGCATGGGCTTCTCGACCTCGACCTCGACCTCGGCCTCTTCTTCGTTGCCGGACGAAATGTGAACATCGTCCGGCGTGTCGCCAGTATATCTGTACAGATCATGCAATGCGTCCGTCTGTACTCGCACAATTCCCTTCATACTACTCGGTCTAGTTTCAGTTGCACTGGAGGAGTAGCTTCGTGCTCGGAGGCCATTTGGAGTGACGGAGTTGATTTGCAAATTGCTTTCTACACCATCGCGAGTTTTGTGTTATCCCAGGGCAGATCCCCCCCCGCATGATAGAGTTCTGAATGTTGCAAGTTTACAAACTGGCCGCCATCAGCGTGCTCCACGACATAAACGTCCCGAGTCAAAATGACACGGCGCAAGCCCCTACTAGAAAGAGAAGCGACAGTAGCTCTCGCTACAGCACTATGAATTGCTTTCTGGGGCCTTCTTGTATGTAACTCCATAGCTTGGCACGTCGCCGTACCCCATGGGAGGTCCCAGGGCGGCAGGCTTCGCCTGCTACCAGCCCGACGTAAATAAATACAACAACAACAACAACAACTACTAGAAAGAGAAATTGCACAGAGTACCCCGCGTACGCCGGTTCTCCCAAAGTCCGAGGGTATGTTTTTGCTCATATTGTCGGTTCTCTGATTTGGCGTACCACATGTTGAGATCAACCCATTCCCAATCACGCGCTAAAAGCTTGAAATTCATATGATCTCCACACCTCTCAGAGGAAGAGACCAGCCTCTTCTCATTTTTGGCATTAAAATCTCCAAGTGAAGTCTCTTCCTGACTCTCGTACTTTTTCCGAGTGCCCCCAAGTGGCAGGTTATGCCGGGTGGTTTCAAGCCACGACGTATTATGTGCTCGCCATTTCCAATCGTGAGCAGTGTCGCCCGCACCAAGGTTCATCCATTTAGTGGTGCAAGGAGCCGTGCCTGTTTTTCCAAGATCCACGAGATCGATCTTGTAATCCACAGGACAATAAGGGCAGCCGTGGAACTTCAAGCCTGTACGATCTCGTTCTGCAAGATTCTGGCTAATTCGACATGTGAACACATCAGTGAAGGTTCCTTCAGAACCAATATCCTCTTCTTGTGCAAATAGATGGTTGCAGACGCCATGGTAACTCAGAGAGGTTTCAGAAAATTTTCTGCTCGGATGCACACCTGTGAGGATCCAGTCTTGGGAGCGCAAAATGAGTTCGTTAGATACGACTCAAGCGTCGACCGAGAACATGGAGTATATTCCAAGGAATTTCACGACATCAGTATGCGACAAGTCTTTGAGTGGCATCCCCATGGTCACGACCATGTCGGTGTTGCTTCAACACCAACTGAACGTGCGAAAAACGCAATTTATAAGACGTACGGTAGCAGTACGGTAGTACGAGACAGCGAAATTTCCCGGGTTACAGGTAACAGGTAGTGACGAGACACTCCTGTCCGCCGGCCGTGGAACCGTGTTGCTCTGATGAAGGCGGATACATCCGTGGCATGCGTGGTATCGAGGGAGATCTCGTGATAACATAGTAAGGAAGCGGATCCGGCCCTCAGAACCTAGACTCGAGAGCAAGCTTCAATGTTTACTTGATAGCAGAGCCGTGAGTCTCTTGCTGCACAATGCAAAAGAGGCTGCCGATTCCGTTGGAAGGAGGTCTGCCACATGAAGTATGACCGCTGGTGGAAATCGATCGATAATTGATTTATGCTTCTTGAAGCAATATTGTTCTTGCTCAGTATGCATTTTAAAAGATGATTCTGAAGCAAAAGGTTGCAAGTTTAATTTTGTAATGTGGGAGCTGTAGAGCAAGATGGAAAGAATGACGCCCAGACAATGCCGACCCATATAACACGTGATACATACGCTACGCTTGATAAGGCTAAGCCTCCACCAGAAAAAAATAAATGGGAATCTCGAATAATGCGAGTCTATTTCCAGGCGGAGCTTCAACACTCTGATATTAACACCAGGAAACTGGATCTTAGAGACAAGAACAAGTCTTCAAGATGGCCATGACTCTTGCGTCGAAAGATGCGGATTACACCATCAAGCCCGAAGCTGTGACTCCAGCAGCAGACTCCAGCGAATGGCCTCTCCTCCTGAAGAACTACACCAATTGTACGGATCCCCTGCTCCAATTTACTGCAGTGGCATACACCTAACAGTTCGACAGTGCTTGTTCGTACTGGACACTTCACTCCCATTCCCGTCGGCTGCAATCCCCTCAATCGCGACCTTAAGTCCTACATCAGTTCTGGTGTCATAAACCTCGACAAGCCCTCGAACCCTTCTTCTCATGAAGTGGTCGCGTGGGTGAAGCGTATGCTGAGGTAGAAAAACACTAAGAATGTACTGTTTCTTCATTTCACTGACCCGAAGACCAGGGTTGAGAAGACTGGTCACAGTGGAACGCTCGATCCTAAGGTCACCGGATGCTTGATCGTCTGCATTGATCGCGCAACGAGACTCGTCAAGTCGCAGCAAGGTGCCGGAAAGGAGTACGTCTGCGTTATCAGATTACACGACAAGCTCCCAGGTGGTGAAGCGCAATTTGCCCGAGCCCTCGAGACTCTGACTGGTGCGCTTTTCCAACGTCCCCCTCTGATCTCCGCCGTCAAGCGACAGCTGCGTATCCGAACGATCCACGAGAGCAAGCTCTACGAGTTCGACAACGATAGACACCTGGGCGTATTCTGGGTCAGTTGTGAAGCAGGAACATATATCCGTACACTATGTGTTCACTTGGGCCTGTTGTTAGGCGTTGGAGCTCACATGCAGGAGTTGCGCCGTGTTCGCAGTGGTGCTATGGATGAGACGAAGGGAATGGTCACTCTCCACGATGTTCTGGATGCCCAATGGATGCAGGACAACACTCGCGATGAGTCGTACTTGAGACGGGTCATCTCTCCTCTTGAAACACTTCTTACCACCTACAAGAGAATTGTCGTCAAGGACAGTGCCGTAAATGCTGTATGCTACGGTGCCAAGCTTATGATTCCTGGTTTGCTCAGATACGGTAGGCTCTATCCCTTTTTGCGAAGAAATCTGTGTATTAACGAAAGTTGCAGAGTCTGGTATTGAGGTTCATGAGGAGGTCGTTCTAATGACCACGAAGGGAGAGGCTATCGCATTGGGTATTGCGCAAATGTCGACAGTCGAGCTCTCAACATGCGACCACGGAGTAGTTGCCAAGGTCAAGCGTTGTATCATGGAGCGCGATCTCTACCCAAGAAGATGGGGACTAGGGCCAGTTGCGTTGGAGAAGAAGAAGATGAAGGCCGACGGCAAGCTCGACAAATACGGACGCCCCAATGAGGCTACCCCGGCAAAGTGGAACACCGATTACAAGGACTTCAACGCACCTCTCGAGGGTGGTGAGGCGCCTGCGAGCTCTGCAATGGTCGCACCCGAGACACCTGCCAAGACCGCTGCCGCTGTATCGTCAACAGCAGCCAGCCCAGCGGGAGATGTGTCGATGATCAGCAATGGTGCAGAAGAGAGTGGCCGGAAGCGTAAGAGACATGAGGGCGAGACTGCAGAAGAGAAGGCTGAACGTAAGCGCAAGAAGCAAGAGAAAAAGGAGAAGAAGGCCAAGAAGGAGGGCAAGCAAGTTGAGGACAGCGATAGTAACTGAGTGGATGTCTGGATCGGCGCGTATCTCTGACTTAGGTGTTCATATTTCCTCGAGGCGTCTGTGTATCATACTTGCTATAGGGCAGGGAAAGGTCAAAACTGGAGTTGTAGGAAAATGGTATTTTGATAACTAGATCCGAGACGAGGATGTAGTGAGCAAAAACTCCGGATTAGATATTTTCGGGCAATACAGGCGCTTCGAAGGTAGTAGAGTCTCGTCAGTTGCCAGATTTCTTTCTTGGATCTTGTGTCCATGGTCGACCTTTCACTCCTGGAATTAAGCTGACAGCCACAACCTAGACCAAACCGAACCGCTTCCATTATACATTAGAAGAACCCACTCCGAATCCAACGCTCCTCGGCCAACCCATAAATCTCTTCGTGATTCCGACATTGTTGATCCGCACCACAGAGCCCTGACCAACCTACCTACCTTCTCACGCCCGCCCGATCCCCGAACCGTTGAGCAGTCGTCCTTTTTTTTTTTCTTTTTTTTTTCGGCTTTCGCGCGCCGTATTCTTGCCATTCATCCTCCCTTGACTGTTGACTGCCGAGATTCACAGTATAGCTGTAGCTGTCGCTGGACAGACTCCACGACGCTTCGCATACACATGTCGACAGTCAATGCCCAATTCTGCGACAGGAGGGCTGCAGACGGAAAGTGGCTGAGCAGTCTGCACTTTGAGAAGCAGATTTATATCATATTGTGAAATGCAAAACTCTCAGACTCTCGGTTTCAAAGGATGTTGATGAGGGGATCTGGGACGCTTCTTCAGCTACTGATTTGGGAGGGGAGAACGGTCGGATAGTGAGGGCTTTTGCGATTGAAGATCATTTGGGGGGGGGGGGAGGAGGGGGGGCTCTCAATGATGACTTCTGCCGAGAATGAGAAGAAGTTGCTCAGCTACTTGGCCAGTATCGGGCAGGAGCTGCGGTGTCGAACGAAAATCTGGGACCATGCCTGCCACCAGCTTCGTACATCGCATATCCCTGATCGAGCCGTGGTGTTGTACTGTAGTCAGCAACTACAGTCAACAAGAGCATGATCGGGGCGAGACCTCTCATGCTGCAGAAACTTGCCGAGTCAATTCTCCAAATAAACTTTCAAGTATGGGACCATAGCAGTGGCCCACTGATGGAACTTCTGCGATTCGTCTGGATCATTGCTATGTACTTCTTGTAGCGGCAAATCCTTCAACATGCCAGGCTACGACGTAGGCTGGGCGACTGCCTCGTCGGTCAAATTGCCTTTCACAAAGACACCTCTCCGGCCGCTGCTGGCTACCGAGTATATATTCTTTCCATTTTGACGGCCAGGTTGGACACCCAAGGATGATGGCAAGAATACGGTCTCTCATCAAAGCAGTCTTGCGGAGGCGATGCATATATTGACAAGGCAGAATGCTGCTATCGCATTCCACGATTATCTCGGCTGGTGTCCGAGTTGTTGGCCATGAAACTACATCGAGCGTCCACCTGATAGGAAAATCCCAGTTGATTGACAAGATTTCAACTTTTCATGTATAGTATCTTGGCAGATGGGGTAAAGTCAGAACATCCTCCATGTAACTGTGACTGTGACTGTGACTGTGACTGAACCCTGAGAAGGATGGGAGGCCGAAACAGCGCTTCTCGAAGAACGCTTGGATTCTGTAGCGATGGGGCAACAGTGGGAGACGGTGAGAGCACGTCGTCTTGGAGGGTCAGGTCCGGCCCGACTCTCTATGGTACTTCCGCATCTTCCCATACCGAGAGCAGTATGCAAACCATGCCCACCCGACATTCCCGATCGGAAGGACAACCGAGTGAGTAGTGCACCGGCATAGGTATTGATCGCGCCAACCGGGGCAGATGTAATTACAAAATGGCTAGATCTCGGGATAACACGACGAAAAGGAGCCCCGGAGACGATCCGACACCACTACGTACCAACTCTTTCTGCATTCTCTCAGATGCAGCACTCTTAGCGCCCGGCAGCTACCTTTCACTTTGCATATATCACGACTTAGAAGGATCTTCAGCTGCTGTTTCCCCCCTGCTTGTTCCTCCGGGAAAAGATGATTGGTTCCAGAGATGGGAGAGAGGCACATGGGTATACATGAAAACATTCAACTTGCTATCTATCAGCAGCCACCATGACAGACCTCGCCGCGATTCCCTGCGCGTTAGTTAGACGCGGTGGTAATAAGCTTTTAGGGTCGGGTACCAAGCGACCAACTGATGGCATTCCATTACTATCCCCCCCCATGAATATATGTCGGACCCAGTTTAGCTTTATAAATCGTAGAGCGTGATTTCTGAATGGCTTAAAGCCCTGTCAACTTCATTGCACAGACTAAATACTGGCTCAAAGATACTTTTCAAGGCTGAACGAGTCCTTATCCTACGTACATGTAGTAGTAAGCTGATCGGTTTAAGACCTGGTAAGATCCCTTGCAAAATTATACTTTCGACATGTGCTTAGGGGGGGGAGAATAGAGTTTATTTCATTTCGTTGAAGAAAGATGGCGATATGGTGCTCTCGTGTTTTCGCTGTTGTCTGTCTCTTATGGCGAGCTGTATGTGTATGTTTATGTACATGCGACAAGTGGTAGGCCTTTCCGCTTGCCCACCCCGTACGACACGGAAAGCTAGGTAGCTGATTAAGTACCATCGCTGTCCTGTATAAGGATTAACTCGTACGTATGTATTACTTCTCCAGGGATTCCACCCTCGAGCGCTTACGCAGAGTTGTCATTGGCCTCGCTGAAGGCCCTGAGGGTCAGATCTGCATCACTGGCGAGGCGTTGCTTAAACCCAAAGAACAAGGTGGTGTAGGCTCACAGGGCCAGCCACTATGCGACCAGGCGCGCTATACCTGTCACTGATTTCCATTGGCAGAGCTTCTCATCGCGTGTAAAAGGATCTGCAACGGCTCCGGTATTGCAGTTTGGATGGATGGTTTGTACCCGGTACCATGGCTCAAGCTGGCTAGGGACTTCGGATTGAGATAAACCAACATTAAACCTACGAAACGCTCTCCCCGAGTGGTCGGCTTCGCTTTGTTTGGGTTGTCAAGTCGCAAGGCAGACAGATATGTTGGGACCGAACTCTGGAGAGGGCCTGTGGAGAAGTGCTGCGGGGAATAACTGCATGGAGATGATGTTGCTTCTCGACCGATTACTGAAGCTGCAGCCCGGTCTGTTGCTTGTACCGGTCGGTATATGATGACTGATCTCCCATTAGCCAGTCTTCTTCCTACATCACCTGCGATTTGTTCTTTCTGTTTTAACTTGGGTTGGTCTTTTGCCGTTTTTTTGTTTTATAATACCCCCTTCGCGGCCTTCCCACCCATGCCCTCATGAGCAAGCCCGAGGCTGGAATCCTCTGACACAGAAACTCATGATGATTTTCGGGTCAACCAGAGCTACCTCGGCCATCCAGGGCCGGAGGAAGTCAAACATGGCCGTGTCAGTCCTCGCCATCGTGGTGGCTCTTCTGAGTCCAACCTCAGCGTTACAGGTTACCCCGGATTCGGCCTGTTCTTCCGTTTGCATAGACGTTCCGACATCTGATATTTCTGAACCGGATGTTTCAAACACTTCTGCGTCTGAAATCGTGTGCAGAGATGACGACTATTCAACCGGTCAAGCTGGATACACGTATTCGACTTGCCTCAACTGTCTTCAGAATAGCAGCGCGTCAAAATTCGATGAGAACGACCAAGCATGGTACTTTTGTGAGTCAAAACCAACTACTACTCTCAGTATGCTAGAATTTACTGATGCTATCTTCCAAGATAATCTCCGATATGCCTTGAATAGCTGCATATTCGGGACCACCAATGCTACCGACCCGATTTCGACACCATGTGGAACAAGCTCGGTCTGTGGGAGGATCCAACTAGCTCTGGCCCATGGTATGCAAACGCCATCAACCACGGGACAATATTCTTACTGTACGGCCTACGACAACTCGTTCTTGGGATCTGGTCTGGATATTTGCCAAGAATGTCTCAGGCTCAACAGCGAATCTTCATATCTGGCCAACTGTATGTCTGGAATTTCACCATATATCTTCTATCTTCCATGGCAGCTATTGATATCTCCGTAGTCCTTACTGCACTTCGAGCAGGCTGTACCCAGCGACCAGGCAAAGGCCTAGTTGTTGGGCTGAACAGTACTTTATTCACCAAGTACGAAGTTGCCATCACGTTCCCGCATAACCCCTCAGCGGCAGCCCGGGAGAAGCGCAAAGGCTTGTCCACAGAGTCCATCGTTGGTATGGCAGTTAGTTGCGGGGTGCTATTGCTGATCTTGGTTGCAATCGCCATCATATGCATAAGAAAGCGACGGAATACGAGACGTCTGAATCGATTCCAGCGCCCCCTCCATGAACGATTCGGCGCCGAGAATATTACCGCGCCTAATCGAGGAGCTTTCAGCTCAACACAGAATTCGCCTCCGTTGAAAGAGGAAGTACAAATGTCTCGCGCTCCCAAGGTCAGGAATATTAGTCTATCGAGGCAGCTTCCTCAGAGAGCTGGAGAATGGCAAGGAATCCAACCATCTTGGGAGATAAACTCTCCGAATCCACCAAGCTACTCACCACCCCGGCGCGATGGTGATTCCCTACCGGCCCATCACGCCTACATACCTCCGGAATACACACCTCCATCCCGGAACTCTACGTCTCCCTTGTACTTCCCGCCACCGGCCTCGCCCCCGCAACAGTCCCCCCAGCCGTTACCCGCTTCACATCCTCAGCGGATGTCCCTTCCAGCCACAGAAAGCCAACAAAAAGACAGCCTACCCGTGGCGCCAAGCACATCGCTATCTAGAGGACCAAGCATCGATTCGCGTATCGTCCCCAACAGGCAAGAAGCTTCAATGGATACCAGGCGTCTAAGCAACACACCACCATCTCTGCCCGGCCCCCTGGGCCCTGGACTCCCGCGAACATCAAACAACACCGCTCTCCCCGACCCTCCGATCATGGGTAGCGGCAACAACTCCGACCCATCATCATCAACCTCCTCCTCCATCACCCCCTCGGTGCCTCCCCTCCAGCGACAGCAGAATCCCGGAACCGGAACGTCCTCTCCTTCCCACTCCCGCCACCCTAGCACAGCCGCCAGGATCCAAATTCAGAACCTAGGTGTGCGCCGCGGCTTCGTGCCCAGCCCGGTCCAAACAACAGCTGCCGCCGCCGCCTCGGTTACCCAGTGCGGAGAGCATGCCCCCCAGGGAGCGAGAGGGGGGATGGGGATGTACAGGGAAGGCGTGGGGGGGACGCGGGCTCATGGACCGGAGACGGTCGAGGCCGTGGAGAGGCCGAGACCAGATAGCGATGCTAGCGAGGAGCTGTGGCCTGGTAGGTACTGAGCCGGTGGATGATTTGCGAGTGGATTTGGTTCAAGGCATTTTTTTTTTTTTGTGGGCGCTGAGCCGGTGAGGAAGGGCGTTTGGGAGGAGACTTTTTTTTTTAATTTCTTCTCCTTCTTTTCCCCTTTCCCCTTTTCCCTTTTCTTCTCCTTCTCACGGAGACAACCAACTGACGGGCTTGAAAGTATATTTAGATCCATATCAGATCAGAATTGCAAACTTTAGATGTTTTCTTTTTCATTTTTTTCAGGGAGGGGGGGGATTCTAAAATCGCATGGCATATCTTTTCAAATCCACTCCACTCCACTCCACTCCAGTGTTTGTCTTCTTCTTCTTCTCATTTACTTCTCGAACACCGAGACACCCCTTTTTGGGGGGGAGGAGGGGGGGGGGACTTGGCCGAATAAATGTAAGGTTGCACCACAAACAAGTTTTTAGCTCAGAAGAGAAGAGAAGAGAAGAACACGGAGAACACGGAGAATGCGGTGCGGAGAAGAGAGTTGCCGGGGGGGTTTTCTTATAATTATGGTTTACAGTAGTATATTTATAGGTAGTGTTGAGAATGTGAAACTTATATTGACATCTGTGTTCGCGATGCAAGTGACACGTTAAAGCTAGGTAATCGACGCTGAAGATTTTGATACTTGTGTGAGTTATCATTTCGTTTCTTGCCAATCGGCGGCCATACGGTCGGTATTTATATATGTATATATATAACATATTGACTTACGTACGTTATACTTGACCTTATTTTCCCCCGAAACCAACACCGAAACCAGAACCACGGCCTCTCAGGTTACAAGCCAGCGAGCGCACTGACTACCGGTATTTATTACATTAGCCCCCCGCACTTCCCCGTATCCCGTCCCGTCCGGCAGCTCCCGAGAAACTGTGCCGTACGGAGGGGCGAGATGGATATACTCCGTACTGCCGAACATGCAGGCCACCGCTTCAGGACAACGACACACACGCCGAAAAAAGTATTATCAAGTTATTCACGTGCGCGTTTAATAGATAGGTACGTCCTGGATAGAGCAAGCAAGCAAGCAAGCACGTAGAACGTAGCAGGCAGCTCCGAGCTGGATCTTAGCCGTTTAATATAGGTATACAGCTTATGGTTGCAATCGTCGGCTCGCTTAGGTGGGCCTCCTTACATCCTTTCAATCTTAAAAAAATCGGCATAAGCGATTGCGGATCGGAAGCGAATGCGGATCTTTCGAGCATATTGGAAATTCTGTTATACTATAGCAATTACTCTTACAATCAACTAAAAAATATTTACATAAACAATTGATCTACGAGTATACCTTCTTCCGAAATATCTAAAATCGTATTATCAATCGGTAAAAAGCAGCAAGCTAAAAAAAAAAATCTTGAATCTGCTGCAAAACAACAACGAATCGTCATCGACAAGCTTTAGAGAGAAGAAAGAGATGCTAAGTATCGTAAAGGAATCGATTTATGCAGAGCTGAGCGCAAGCGCAAAAGGATTCTACAAGAACGCTTTATTGCAAGCTTAATTATTAAAGACGACGATGCAATACTTATTTCAACTCTCGATTCGGAAGAGATTTAGTGGTTGCAATAACTAGCGTTAAATTTTGCGGCCTCGGAAAAAAAAGTGTTGCTCGACCAACTCTCTCTCAACCTGAACCTTTTCTCGATGACGATGATGTAATAATGATAACTGATATTATTCAAGACCTCTTGTTTAAAGCAAGATATTTTTCTTTTCCCTGATAAATGGCTTCAATCCTAATAATAGTAGAGATTCAAACGATTCGTTGCGGAGGCCTGTTCGTTGCGTAAGGTAAGAGCCGAATCAGATTCTAGTAAAAATAGTAATCGATGGTCAAATGTTTCATCGGATAATACGGTTTAAAATGTTTCAGAAGAAAGTATACTCGTCGATGGATTGTTTATATAAATATTTTTTAGTTAATTATAATAGCAATTGCTATAGTATAAAAGAATTCCCAATATACTCGAAAAATCCGCATTCGCTTTCGATCCGCAATCGCTTATGCTGACTAAGACTGAAAGGATATAAGGAGGCCTACTTAAGCGAGCCGACGATTAGTTGTAGACGGCAGACCTTTTCACCAACTACTTTACCATCCCCCTTAAGAACAACACAAAAGGCAGGGCCCTCGGCTAGCACGGATCGACTTTTGTTGTGTTTTTGCTCGTAATTCTGTTCCCATGTTTTGAGCTTTTTAAACTGGGGAAAGGGGTTGCAACGCTCTGTACCTCCCTCCGTATGGTTGTTAGCCCACGCCTAAATTTAGTAAATTTGACTCTATATTCAGGATGATTTGCGACATGGGAACACACTTACTGGCCGCCCAGGACCTCCGTAGCGTGCGAGCTGTGCGGAATAGATTGGGAAAACATTCCGCTGCCGGCCCGTAATACAACATCGTACGAAATACGTACACTTCCATTAACTAACAACCATACCCTCAATTCTTATATGCGACAGCAGCAAAATAACAGTGCGAAAGTCTGTAATACCTAGGCCAGTCAGTCTGAAGTTTTATCTCGCATAAGCTATTTAAATACTCTTTAAAATTCCCTCGTTACGCCCTCTCTCTCAATCATTCATTCCCACAATCAATTTAATCCGTCTTTTTTCACGCAATTTCAATTCTCCATCACGTTCGCAACGATCCTTCTCACACGCAAAATTCAATTTTCGACCTATCACTCTATCTCTATCAAAGATGATGTTCATCAACGCCCTCGCCGCCGCAGTCGTTCTCCTGTCCCCTGCCGTCATAGCCGCCCCTCAAGTTTCTGCAAAATTCCCTAGGATCCAACTATGCTCAGAAAGTAGCAACGTCAACTGCTACGAGCCTCTTGCCGAACCCGGCATCTGCAGTACGAATTTTTTCTTCTTCTTTCTCTCTCTCTCTCCTTCTTCCTCTCACTCTCCTCCCGAAAAACCAAAAAAAAAAGACGAGAAGCTTACATATAGCAAAGTGACGATCCCAATTGACTTCAGCCGGAGGGTCACCTCTCTCAATACCTACGGCAGAACATGCAACTTTTACCTGTGAGGATCCCCCCCTCCTTTTTTCTTTTTTTTTCTCTCTCTCTCTCTTCTTCATGAGATATGCAGACAAGGATGACGAACTAATCTTTTTTTTTTAAAAAAAAATAGTTTCCCCGCTTGCAGCGTGGACCCGGGCAAGGGACCACTGGCCTTTACCGGCTCCAACGATAACCTGAGCAAGGGCGATTATTCCAAGTACGACAATGCCATCGCTTCCTACAAGTGCAATTAGCCTTGGCTTTAGCTTTATCTTCAGCTTTATCTTTTGCTGTGCAGCTGGCGCTCGCTGGCCGATTGATATTCCTCCGTCGACCTGGGAAAGAGGGAATACCTCTATGCTGGACCATTGTTGATAGGGATATGTGTGGGCGGATTACCATGCCTATCTGCAGGGGGGTTTTTGACAAGCAGTGCTGCGATAAGGCGACAGGGGGCTACCACTACTTTTGTAGGTAGTACTACTGTGTACCTATGTAGTAGAGTAGGTTGTGGTGGTGGTTGAAAAGGGTGGCTAAGTATCCAAGCAGATATATTTCATATACCCATCCACCTCTGCTTCCGGAGCGCTTTATTGATTTGGGGAAGGTCCCAGGGCGGATGGATCGGTTGCGGGAATGCATTGACGTGCAAGAATATATATATATATATATATATATTTACATTATAAAAAAGGGTTCTAGGGCCAAAAAATAACCAGATGTCAATGCAAGCTACTGTTGTCCAAACAGCGATTCCTCTTCCGTAACTCCACCCTCCGCAATACCAACCTGGTTAAGAGCAGGACCTGACGTCTCAACTTTTTGAGACCCTTCCCTAAAGTGGGCGAAAGAAATGTATCCCCTGGAGGCCAAAAAAAAAAGAGAAAACAAAAAGTAGAACAAGTGTCCCTCTCCGTACTTTTTGCACCTTTCGCAATATTGCTCGTATCAGAAGAAAGCCTCGACTATAAGAAAAAAAGGTTGATGTTCCCATTCTTGACGACGCTGCCGATCTAGAGAATCAGATTTGTAATATGCTAGCTCTATTATATACCGCTTTGTTCGATGTGAAAATTTAGTGGAATCTGATGTGTTCGAATTTTAACCGTTCAGAGAGATCTAAAAAACCTTTTTTTTTGGAGCAAATTCGAATCGTAACTAATTGGGTTAGTAGATACTGAATCATATCAAGTTGATGCATCAATAGTTATATAGTATCTTGATCTGAGACACCAATTCATATATATATATATGTGTGTGTGTGTGTTTTAATTCGTTATTGAGTTATTCGAACGATGAGTCATGAAATTATGCGAATTTGAGACCTGATTTTGATGAGGGACACACTTTTTTTTCCAGGGACACATTTTTTTTCGCCACTTTAGGCAAGGGCCTTGAAAGTCGAGACGTCAAGTCTCACTGTTATTATGCTCGTTAAGGAGTGATAACGGAGCCGAGCTGAGTGAACCGAGATACTATCTACCGACTGGTATCGCCTTCCACTCATCACCATCATCACCTTCATCGCCTCGGATCTAGCCAGTAGGGATCTACCCAAGCAGCCAGCACCGAACCAAACCCATCCGTCTTCCCACCTAACAACTCTCGATCAGAAACCCCCCCTTTAAACCAATCATGATACTCGAAATCTGCCTCTTCTATACAGCATGACCTCCCCTCTGAACATCGTCTTCGGTCAAGTGACTAGCAGTGCCCCTACCATGCCCTGGATGTAGCAGCACGGGTGCAACGTTCTGCATCTCGATTATCTCGGCGGTGGGCTCGTGCTTCTCTCGACTGCGACTGCGGACGCCCGAGGATCCTCCAATGCTGCTCTTGCGGTCTACCGGCCACTCCCTTGGCCACTCCCTCGAACTCCCGCTGGTTTGGAACCGGTCACTGGCGTCTGTAGGGCTGGAGTATTGACTCGAGTACGTGCTGTATGCCCCATCTCCCATTGCGCTGGCTGGACTGTCTCCGCCTTGTCTTGGTCTTGGCCATGGTTGTGACGATACTAGAGGCCGTTGACTTTGAGGGCTGTCGAAGAATGCCCCGGGGCTGGAAATTTGTGGTGACATAAATGCTGACTTTTTCTGTACGAGCCAATCTGCGTAGCCCGTTTCCTGCTGGTGCTTCAAAAGAAACATCCTCCGCCGTCTCTTTCCTCGCCACACAATGCAGAACCCTGAAATTGACAATAAAGCAACAAGGCCGCCCACTGCAATCCCGACTTTGGCTCCCAGCGTCAAGGCATGATCGTCTGGTTTGTATGTAGAAGCAGGCCTAGCCGATCCGGTTGTGATATTGACTGCTGTAGTGGAGAAGAGGCTCCCTTCTATGTTGATTGTATTGCCAGGAGTGGGTTGTTGCTGGCATGCTGCGTCTAGAGCCGTAACAACTTTTGAGCGAGACTATCAGTGAAATCCTGCGTGTCATAACAGATAGAGAGCTTACAGTTCTTAAGGTAGAATTCCGAGGTTTGAAAACTGAGACATGATGTGCATTTTGATATATCAGTGGCGGGTACGAGGGCACAGAAGCCGTAAGTACTAGCGTTCGAAGATAATGAATCATGTACGAAGCCAGCTTTCAGAAGGCCACAAGATTTACTTTCCGTTGTCAGATACTGTCAATCTTACAAAGCAGGAAAGAACCAACCTAGTGGTGCATGGTGTGCTGATAACATTCTCGTTGTTCGGATACCCAAACAGACACCAACTCACGGCGTAACGTATATTATCTAAGGTAAAAGATCCATTAGCAAACAAGCTATTAGAGGATGTATTTGGAAAACAAGTCTACTGTATACTTACATATTGCCCAGTGAAGATCTGATTGTTTGGTCACAGGGTCAACATAGTTGCTCCGAACCTGGCAGGAGATACAATTTTCAAAGACCGTTCCGGCGTTTGTGGACTCGAATTCGGCATTGCTACAGGCAATATCACTCCCACTGGTACTATCCAATGTATTCCCGCACTGAGAAGCGCATGGTGACGAAGTAGATGCTAGTAGAGCTGACGTTGTCGACGCAAAGGATGTGATGAGAACGAGCGTAGGTCTGAATATAGACGACCGCATTTTCGAGTGCCCTATTGCTTGAATATTGTGATATATTAAATGATTGTGGTGAACTCTCCGATGTCCAAGGTTGAGCTGGAAGATGCGTGCTACATGTATGAAGCTTCCGTGATCTTGGCCAGCAAGATTATCCCAACCTCCTTGCAAACAAACGCAACTGGTATTGAATAGCGAGTTGCTTCCGTACGCATATCAGGGGGCGGGTTGATGGCATTATATGAAAGTTTGGTGGAAGCTTTGAGAGCAATCGAGGTTTTTCGATGCGCAGACTTTCTCAGGGACTTCTCCGCAGAATCCAGCCCAGCCCTAGCAGACAGACTCCTAACAAGCAGAAATAAACCGATTCGGTTTTCACCAACAGCGTCGTTGTGCATGCGAGGTACACCACAAGGTCACCCTGCAGGACAGGGATTTGGTGATGAGATAACAAGGTGTGAAGCTTCGTGAGTCGTGCTGGCGGATGATTGGCGATCGTGGAGATACAAGAAGCCTTGAATTGACGAACAATCGCTCGCGTCTTGGGACGCTGTATCCAGCCTTAAAAAGTATCTCTTCACACAGCCAGAGCAGGAGTTTCGATGATTGGGGGCTGTTGGCGACCTAGTGACCTCAAGTGGAAGAAGGACCGCAAAGCTCGGCTCATTGAGACAGTTGGTCCGCCACCTAGCTAGTACTCTCGAAGTGTGTGATGTTGTGATAATGATAATAGCTGCGGCGCAAGACGGATCTATCTTCATGGTGACAGCTGCAGACGCAGCTGTGAGTCCTAGACAGCCGCGCCGAATGAATCCAAATCACAAAATTAAAAATTGAGGAATGTTCCCGCCCCACATCTCATCGTGCCAGCGCAACAGGACGAAGTGACCGAGGCATCTATTGGTGCGCTGCGGCCCGGAATTGTTGAAGGATGATAGAGGTCGGGGGGCCTTTTCAGTAGCCATTGAGCGACGCTTCCGTGACTCCCTAATATCATGACACCTGAAGTGGAGGCCCGAATCGAATGAATCGGACAGTAGCGTACTTGACCAGTATCGGTTTACAGGAGACTGGATTCGAGCCTGTGTTGATTTAAAGACACCGGGCGCGTAACCGGGCGAGGCGATTGGGTGGTTTTTCATCGATACCTAACGAGGTCACATGACGATCATTGGACTCTGTGCCTTAGAGAATGCGTGTAGTGATAATGTCCCTATGGAATACTTCTCCTTTTAACCCACGATTCATGCATCCCACGGGCGGTTCAGTTGCCAATTTCTCAATGTGATGGTTTGGGAGCGCCGTGTGATAACAGCGGAGGCTGCTAAGGTATCGATTATCTCGGCAGGATATCGACCGATGCGGTATTTCTTGAGCGTCGCTTACATTTTCCAGGAGGTGTCTAATGGCCTGTTTTGATAGCGATAATGCCGCACATAGGGGGAACAATTGCCATCGTGCCTCGGATCTGAAAAAGCTAGAAAAGGACTCTCGTAAGACGAAGCTGCATATTTCGAACTTATTTTATCGCATAAACGCCGAAAGAAACCTCTCGGTACTTACAGTATGAAGGCTTGCTGAATAGTCACAGGACTGAAAGGTTCTGTGTTGATATGCGGGAGTCTGGTCCTGTGTAGAAGTAATGGAGCCCCAGCCGAGACAATGATCATGCCCACAAAGCCACGGAGATACTCAAGCCAAAGAAATTGATTCAATGCGAAGTGTACAGTGATTCAGAAGTCGTAAATCGGAATCGAGTAGGTAGATCCCTACCAGAAATTCTGTTGGTTGGTCAGCAGCGTTGGGAGAACAAGGTTCGAAGAGAGTTTTCGCGAATTTAAAGAACATGAGAAATGAATCATGTGATTTTCATGCTGGCAGATTCACTCCCTCCCAGCCTCTCACTTACGATAATACCTACCTTGAGCAAATAAACACGAATCTGTTGGAAACTTAAAGCCGCTTCGCCTTTTAATTTTGATCTCTATAATTGTTCCGCGTTGGGAGGGAGAGGTGCTACTAACCCAGCACCTAGTGTTGGTATCAGGTTGGTATGATAAAAACATTCTCCAAAAGGATTTCGCAGAATCGTATACAGAAAGCCGGATTTAAGGCAGGGGGTGAAAAATATCTCCGAATGGTCTTACTGTTGATTCTAGTCATGTTTAAATATTCGATTAAGCACAGCATATACGGGTACAGATCAAAGGCTCGGTTATCTAATATACAGCCCAACGCATACACACTTCCGTCTCTTCGGTCTCTACCCTTTTTCAAGTTGCCGAACGCCATGCTGCTACACAGATGAATATCAATAATTTGAATAACAAGTGACAAAGACCCAGAACATAGCTAGTTAAAGATGCATGGGGGATCTTCCATTTACCAGATTGAGCTTTTGGACATTTCCACCTCAGAGATCGAGAGGACTGGAGGAGAAAATCGACTGATGATCATCTGGAATGTTTAATGTTGAGTGAGTTCCGTGTTTAATGGAGGCCCGAAGGACAACTTCCTCCTCCGAATGTTCACGCTCCCCATTCCCACTGGCATTTCTCGACTCGGTTGATGTCGAGCCGACAGAACTCGGGAATTCTCATGATGGAGTGTGGACATGAGACTCGGCTCTGTTTGATCTCACTGGCTCGTCAAGTTCATCGTTGGGGGCGGTAGCTTTGGGATTGAAGTGAAGCGGAGAACGTCGAGAGTCGGAGGCAGAGATGGGCGGGGGATCATGATGGTAGTCATCCGCCTCCAAAGAACCTTCAAAACTGTCCGAATCGGACCAGTCAGGCAGATCGGCTGGCTCGTATCCATTAGCACCTGATTCAGGGGCGGTTTCTAGGACATCAGTGGCAGCAGAATTCGGTGCCGAGACCAGTTTGGCTTTCGGTAGCTCATTCGTATCGACTACAAGAAGCTCTTTCTCTCCGCGGCCTAGAAGTCCGTAGACTTTCACTTCGCCCTCGTTGATTCCAATTACCGCGCTTGTTCCAGCGTAGGTGACCTCGTCCTCTGTACCGCAGCGATTGGCGAAAATGACGATTATTTCTCCTTTGGCCTCGGCCCGAATCAAAGGTTCAAGACGGCCGAGCCAGTATGCAAGAGTTTCCATATCAGGCTCAAGTGGCGCTCGACTGAAGCTTCCCGCATCTTCTCGAGTGTTCCATCTGTATGTAATATCATTGTCAGAGAAAAGAAAGGTTTGTTTGTCGTGATGACTTTGGATTCCAAAGCCTATAAGAAGGCAACAGGTGAGAGATCCTGATTTCTGAATTTACTTACGCCATTGAAAGTATCACAAGATTTGCCTTAACATGAAGGACATGATGTGCGAACTCCCATGCACTCCACGGTGCTTCAAACTTGTAAGGACTAGTGAAATCAGCAGACCTCACTGGTACCAAGTGTGTTTGAACCTACTTCAAATCCATACCTGTTAGAAGCAGAGGTCAGCGGTTTTTTTCTTTCTTTTTTCCAAAGAAAAAAATTTACTGGACTAGTGACATACATATTCCCATAGCAACATCGCCGAGGCCTTCGATGGCTCCTGAGTAGAAGCCTTTACCTTCCAGAGCCCAGGTTTCATCCGTATAATACAGGAACGATTTTCGATAATTTGCGATGGTCTCGCCATCTTGATTGACCATAATCACAGAGTTGTAATACTCAGGATTTGTAGGCCATCTCTTGCTGACGTCGACTTTCTCGGGGTAGCCAGCAGCTATTATGCAATTGTATTTGAGAGCTGCAGTCCGTGCCCAGAGCGAAGTGATGCCAGCTGTAGTGGGCTCGAGGAAAGGCGAAATATGCGCCAAGGACCTGAAATTATATCCTGTGAAAATCTTAGCTCTTGTTCGTGAGGAATGATCCTCCAAGATCGTCGCGATGTTGGTAGAAACCCGCGAGCCTGGTTCTGCGGCACAGTGCCGAGGGGTGGATCTCTGCGGGCATCACTAACAAGCAGGCTTGCAACATTGCAAAGGCATCAGAAGGTCGTAGACTAACCAGTGAATGCAAGTTCAGGCAGCACGAGCAGATCTAGATCTTTTGGGTTTGCCCTGCTCAGAACGCAATCGGCGCGGTTCAGGTTGTTATCAACATCGCCAACCTGCGAAGACATTAAGCCTTCGACAACCATAGCGAATGAATACAACATACCTGAGGCGAAAACTGCAAGCAACCAATTCGCATCTTTGCGGGTAGTTGTGGATGGTAAGTACTACCTTTGGAGGGCCGACAGGAAGATATCTGATTTTCGCCCCACTTAATACCTTACGCGTGGTGGTGAACCCGAAGCCCGGAAGGCGAAGCTCCAGAAGAATAGCCCTTTAGATTGTACTTCCGCAATCGCAGCAGTCGTATCGCATTCGCGCTGATCATATGCGGCCAACTTCGGACTTCAGGATCTCAGAGGTGTGGTCAATTAACACGGATGGTCTGACAAGCCTAAGTAGGCGGGCGCTTACGGGCTGACCCACTTTTATAATGTCACCCACCGCTAGCGCCAGTAGCCGAGGATGCATATCAACAACGTCGACACAACCTTTCAAGGCTCGGGATAGTTTGTCCTTTCCTACCCCGAGCTGCTTCAACAAATTTCAATTCCACTTTTGTATGAATTAGATATTTGAGTGGATTGACAATTTAGTGGCTTCCACGATTGAGAGTCTTTCACTGCCCCCCATATGCAACCGAGACTTAATTTCTCTGCCACCTCGTAAGTCGTACCTCTTATACCAAAAAGTTATATCCCATCATAAAAAGTCAGTGACATGATTCAACCTTACAAGGCTGGGTATAATATCTGTGCACACAAGTACGCCCACCGCGCTCTATTCCCATCCCGATGCTATTGCAAGGTACGGTTCTTCCACAAACACGAGGTGCATGCACCACAAGCTACGATGCTAGAAGACCTAATCTCCTCCAGCCAGAACTCCATGCTCTTAAGAACGCCTTGATTCTCCATTGCGATGACCAGCGACAACCACACATGACCCTAGCGTAAGCCCCCAATCCATATCTGCCCATAGGATCACCAATCAACACTCCTCGGCCTCGGAGACGCTGGACTCTTCACCCTTAATTTGGTCTCCCCACCCAGGTGCCCATCAAAAGTATCCGTAATCATACTCGCCGAATGAGGTGGACTTTTCGCAATCTCCATCTGCTTACCTACCCCAAATGTCCTCGTTGAAGGTATGTTCGGCGTCTCACTAGAATCAGCATACATCAGCCCAGGCTCCACGTCGGCCCAGGCTCCACGTAGTTGGGGTTTCGAACCTGGCTGGCGTTACGGGATTTGGGTGACGAGGGGCGGAAGAGTGTAGGGAGTCTGGAATCATGGGTTCAACTTGCTTGAGCTTTTCGATGCTGGATTTGAGGGATTTTTCGTGCCGTGGTTCTCCGCAGCTGGGATTGCCGGACCGGGCGAAGAAAGGGCTGGGAACACGAGCGTCCACTGGGCAGAGAGGCGCGATCGTGCTGTCCATGTCTATCGAGAGGTGCATGGAGGTAGAGATTGTAGCAGCAGTGGCTGTGGTCGAAACCCCCAGATTTTCAGCGATAGGCTGACCAGGCCTTATGCATTTGGAATTTGGCGATTTGGAGAATGCTGCGGATGTTGGCTTGGTTAGGAAAGTGTTGGGCAAGGAGCTTCGGGGCTCCGATTTCGCGGAATTAGAGCTTTTAGAGAGACTGGGCTCCGAAATGAGCTTTGCCTGCGGAGGGCGGCTAGTGTGTACGACTAGCAGTTCTCGCTCACCCCGTCCCAGTATGCCGTAAACCTTGACTTCTCCACTTTGAATGCCGAGCACTGAGCTTGTACCTGCATACACTGCGTCTTCTTCCGTTCCACAGCGATTAGCGAGTACAGCTATCATCTCGTCATCGCTTTCTGCTCGAATCAGAGGTTCTAGTCTTGCGAGTCAGTAGGAGAGTGTCTCCATATCTGGCTCTTGGGTGTACGACTGAATGCCCTCGCATCTTCTCGGGTGAGCCAGGTCGTAGATATGATGACAAGATTTGCCGACTTGTGGAGAATATGGTATGCGAATTCCCATGCGCTCCAGGGGGCCTCAAACTTATACGGGCTGGATCTAAGTCAGTCATCTTGTGATACAGCGCGAGGGAAAATAGACCTTACTTCATGCCCATGCCTATGAGAATCTCGTTAGCTGATTTCTCAAGAACTGTAAAACATGGACTCACGCTCAAATTACTCTGTTGGCCACTTACATATCCCCATCGCTACGTTCCCTAATCCGTCTATCTCCCCATCGTGAAAGCCATCTGGACCCTCCAAAGCTCAAGCCTCATCTGCGCAGTAGAGAAAAGACTTCCGATAATTGGCAATAGTCTCCACTTCACCGCTCACCGCTCACCGTTATCGCAGAATTATAATATTCGGTGGAGGCTGGCCATTTTGGACCGATGTCGACCTTTTCAGGGTATCCCGCAGTGACTACGCAACCATACTTCAAAGAAGTCGTCCTGGCCCAAAGCGATGTGATACCGGCAGTGGTGGGTTCGAGGTAGGTACTGATATTTTGTAGCGACTTGAAATTGTAACCTGCTTCTGGTTAATTGAACATGAATTTGTGATGTGCCAGAGCATCATGGTCTTGGCAGAATTGAGAGTTCTAATCCGCTCTGAGTGTATCGCATGATCAAAACACAGCAACAAGCATGCTTGGTATAGCAATACGACTGCTGTCAGGAAATATCGTCAACATCATCTTACGCTCGCAACAGGTATGGCGCTCCTTTCCAGACCCACCAGTGAATGCCAACTCAGGTAGTACTAGCAGATCTAGTTCTTGAGAATTCGCTTTACTCAGTATCGCATCTGCACGGTTGAGATTGTTGTCGATATCGCTAACCTGAGGTGCGAACTATCTGCGATATTGTAAGCGCTAGAAAGAGGGGTTGGGCATCGAGTAGGATACCTGAAGGCAAGCAATCCTCATCTTGATTACTTTTGATCATAATCAACGACGTTACATGCACCGCAAGAAGGGGTCGTCGGAAAGACAGAAGACCGATTGAACGACTAAGAAAACACAACGCACGATTATAAGAATGGGGGATAGGATGGGTCAAGGAACGGATATCAAAAACTGGTACAGCACCTCGGCTGATATTTAATTTCGGCCCGAGGGAAATCTGCGGGATGCTCCTGATGCTCCTGATGCTCCCGATCCAAAAGTAACACGGGATGGCTGGTCTCTCGGGCTATATCAATATCCTCCAGTGAATTATGGGCGTGTAAAGGCCGGGGAAGAGTGGGTGCTGTCTCTGCAAGCCCTGCCCAGGTGAACACTTCGATAAGCGAGAAGACCCCTAGAGCAATGCAGCTCGTCCCATGCGCTCCGAATCGTAGCAGCAGCACCTCTGTTGCTCACTCCTCCCTCCGCTTGGAAGACGGTCGTTCCCTTTTCTTCTTACCACCATGGAGCCGAATCATGACCTCTGATTTGGGGGAGCATCTGACTACAAACGTTGCTAATCAACTTCGCATGTGCAAACCGCCATAACTCAAAAAGACCCCCCTCATAGCGTTGAAAAAATATTTGTTCATCCCAGATTCCAATAACACTCAGCATATCGAGTAATTTACAGTATTTGTTCTATACTGCGCCATCTTATACCTGCTGTTGATCGCTACATCCTCTTTGCCTTCCTGATGCGTAGAAAATTCGTCCGAAGGACAGGACATATAAACAAGCTCCAAACACCATGCTTCACAAGATAACAAGAAGTTTCTACAAAAAAAGAGTCCTGACATAAAACCCAAATCCAGCACCCCTACCAGACCGTACTCAGAGGGCGAGGCGTAATATGCCGACTCCTAGGGCCGAGAGGGTTTCTTGTGAATAATGAATCGAAATGTGGAACTTTGGTAGGCAACAGAGGAAGCGACTTTTCGCTGGCCTTGGCCGTATCTGTCTGGCTTCTATGCTGAGAATCGCCTGAGTTCACTGTTCCGATCGATTGCGTGACGTTGCAGACGGACTGGAACGTGGGGGATTCCAGAATGTGGGCACAGATAGCGGACATCAATAGCTGACTCTCATCCCCAGTGCCAATATCGACTCGGCTACTGGAAGAAACTCTTGGTCGTAATGGAGCTCGACCTCGGGATGTATCTCGGCTCCGTGAATGGTCGACCAAAAATATCTCTCTAGACGAAGTAACATTGATGCTATGTTGAGAGGCGCGGGAAAGAGACATAGCTGATTGGCTGCTGGTGCGTCTGTTATTAGATTCAACCTGGGACACCGAACAGGGAGAGTATTTTGTCGGCGGGTGCTGATTGCTGATATATTCGCCCATGAAATCGGCTCGATCTTCCCGTGCATCCTCAAGGATGTTCCCAACTACACTCTCAAAATGCTGGTCGTCCTCGCCCTCGATGTAAATGATCTCATTGGGATCGAGACGCTCCTCAATAAATGATTCGAAATCAATCCCCTGTCCAATCATACTCATACTTCCCAGGGCAAGAGACTCTTGAAGCCTCTGCTCATCGCTGAGGATGCTACCCATCCTGGATATCGAACCATCAATTGGCGGCAAAACCTGTAGGGCCGCTCCTCTAGAGCGACTGCAATTTCTAGACTTAGGCGAAGCTGGCCTTGAATAGACTGACGGAATAGGAATTGGTGTTGGATGTCGCTCTACAAACTTGCCGTGCTCGGTACTCTGCGGAACTGGCGTCAGCTTCCTCTCCTTCACTTGCTTCGGCTCATGGGGACAAGGTTCTGTAGTGGTCTTTTCTGGGAAGTATGCTTGTGTGGTCGGATTTCCAACGGGTGAAATCGGCGAGAAGGAACACGAATCCAGTTGAGGAGTAACCAATGATGATTTGGTTGTCGATATTGTCATTTGGGTGGTCAGTTGCGGGAGATCTATTGAGGTATGACTCGTGGAGATAGATTGCTGGCTGCTCAGGCTCTGATCGGAATCATTGGCAGAGTCCGAGGATGTCGATAATCGTGTTTCCGAAATTTTGTTTGCAGTGGCGGCAGCAAAAGCAATTGCATCGAGGGCAGCAGAGGGAGCTATACCACGTTCGATGGTAGGTGCTGGCGGCGTTGCATCCCTCGGTTCGGAAACAAGTTGTAACTTCGGCCGCTCAGAGGTATCAACAACAAGTAGTTCTCTGTCTCCTCGTCCAAGTATCCCGTAGACCTTGACCTCGCCAGCTTGAATCCCTAGAACTGCACTAGACCCGGCGTACACAGCATTTTCCTCGGTACCCGTTCGATTCGCGAACACGGCGATGATTTCTTCCTCCCCCTCGTTACGAATAATCGGTTCCAGTCGGGCCAACCAATACGAGAGCGTGTCCATATCTGGTTCCTTCGGAGTCCTACAGAACGATCTGCCGTTTTCACGTGTCATCCACTATCAAATCAGCGTGTGTTTCATCCATGATAAAAGTTATCTGCAATCTTACCGCCATAGAGAGAATTATGAGGTTAGACTGTCTATGGAGAACATGGTGAGCGAATTCCCAAGCGTTCCAAGCAGCTTCGAATTTATATGGACTAAACGCCGTTAACAACCAAGACGTGGGATTTTGTCACCTATAGGAACTTACTTGAGATCCATACCTATGACTGTAAGTTAGCAAGGTTTCAGGACTCCAATTTTTGACACCCACGCTCGGCAGGATCGTTGGGCCACTTACAGATACCCATTGCCACGTCTCCGAGACCCTCGATGTTGCCGTCATAAAAACCATCAGGACCTTCGAGTGCCCATGTTTCGTCCGTATAAAAGAGGAACGATTTCCGATAGTTTGCTATAGTTTCACCGTCGGCATTGACAGTGATTGCCGAGTTGTAGTACTCCGGAGATGCTGGCCATTTCGGACTCAAATCTACTTTCTCTGGATAGCCTGCTGTAACAACACAGTTATATTTCAGAGCTGTGGTCCTCGCCCACAACGAGGTAATGCCCGATGTCATAGGCTCGAGATAAGGACTGATATGATGCAAAGAGCGAAAATTATATCCTGCCGCAGACGGGTCAGCTGGCCGGTTGCTGAGACCCGAGCTGGCTGAACCACCAGATCTCAAGGACATACCAGTGAAGGCCAGCTCTGGAAGGACCAGTAAGTCCAAGTTTTGGGGATTCGCGCGATTAAGGACCGAATCGGCACGATTGAGGTTGTTGTCGATATCCCCAACCTGTGACCTTGTCAGCAAAACTCTCAAAACACATCAAGGAACGTACCTGAGGGGCGAACTGCAAACAGGCAATCCTCATTCTCGCGATACTTCACGAACTAATGCATGCCTCGCCGATTCAGTCAATAAAAATTGATCAAATTTGAAAGAGAAGAAGAGATCGTGTGGTCTGGACACCGGGCAGCACACAAATGGTTGCGCGGGTTCTCATGATGGTATATAGTGGGCGATCGGGCGGTGGCTCGTTGGTGGCTTGATGCGTGGCCGAATGGATGTAGGCCGGCATACGCATGATTCCAATTCTGGGAATGGTTGCATCGCATGCGTGAGCAGCACTCCACTGTGTTACCATAATGATTGGAAGGAAGAGAAGAACCGACAGCGCTTACATGCATACCGCTAGACCCCTTTTCTAAGCGAGCCGAGCCTCTTGTCTAGCCAACCTCGAATTCTCTTTCCTGTACGCTCGGGATCCCGAGTCAGCGCTTATTTTCTCAGAATCCCGATTTTCAAAAGAGAGGGAAACCGATCCGTCGGCAGCTCCTCGAAATAGTCGGAAGATGGCCGGTAGAAGTGCGGAGCGGCGAGGAGGAAGAGAGCCGAGGACAGTACCTCGACTGTGGCGACGGGCTGCCTCAAAGTCTCAAACCCTCGCATTGAAAAACTTTCCCTGCTGTGCCATGTCTTCTCTTGCTTGAATTTTGGTGGGGCCAAGGGATTCCAGCCAGCCCTAACAGAGATACAGTACGCCGATATATTGTTAGATCTCGTAATATTTATCAAGAATGTCCCAACCGATACATATGACCTATACATATACATATAATATAACTAACCACCTCTATTCTTCTGCTGACCCGAAATCAGACCCCCCACCAGTGCGCTACTCTTGAGCGATGCACCTCCACGATGCGGCCGTATCGTGTCAGTCACAGCCGCCCAGTGGCAACACACCAGACCAAATATCGATCATATCTTAACGCAGCCCACTTCCCGAATAGAGTGCCGCTCAGCACTCCCGCTCTTATGGAAATGGAGCCCAAGACTCTCGCCGTGGCCGACCTATGTTCCTTCCTCCTCCCGAACCGCACTTCTAAACTCTCTGCTCGTAGCGGGAGCTCCCTTCGGATCTCGAGCCTCGACAGATGAGTTCCGTATATATCACCGTGACGGCCTTCTTTCTCACGCCGGAAAGTGCTCATGGACCATCAGATAGGAGGACTCTAGTCGAAAGGCATGATTGGATGGTCGTCAGTGCAATGCTTTATGGTCTGTCTTCGAGCGACACTCGGCTCGTACCTTGGTTTCAAGAATCACGCTCTGCATCTCTACGCTCCTCGTTCGTTGTACCTCCCCACCCAAGAAGCCTAAATATGATAAACCAGTCCTAGCAATTTTCCATACAAGTAGTAATCCTCCATCTCAGAGTGATCACCTCGAGTACGTAGCGAAACCCTTTCCCATCCATATATATATATCCCCACCCCGAGCTTCTCCCGCGCACAAATATTTTCACCTCCTTAATCAAACCAACTCCGTCCCCGTCTTCCATCAACTTGCGACAGAAGTTGCGGTGGCTCAGCGGGTTTCAGGCCAGCTATCAGAGTCGCACATCCCCTCTCGCAAGTTGATAATCGTAGATTCGGAATAACCTATTCAATTAGGTTTGTAAACTGGGACCTCATAATAGTATATGGGCTTCCAGTTGAGTTTTGCAATTTTTGTCCTTTTTTTTGTCCTTTTTTTTTGTTTTGGTGAGAGAACAGTAATATCATCAACTCCATTTCGTGAAGAAGCGTTGTGCGCCACTAGATTTACGAATCAGGCTAGCAAGTAGCGATCAATGAATGGGGTATATCCAAATCCCATCCCTTTTTACTCTCGATTCGTATTGATGTTCCGAGAGCTGATCAAAGGTATTTCAATCAGCTGTTAATCAAGGCGAGGATTTCCGACCTATATATCGCGCAGGCACTCACTCAACTTGAATCTACTCATGCAAATAAACACCCAAAAATCATAAAAAAAAACAAGGCTCTTCCCGCAGTAACCTTCAGCCCGCCATTCATTCGATAGAGATTCGTTGAAGACTAGTCGCAGGATCCAAGCAAGAATCTCCGAGAGCAGCTAGAAAGTGACAACCGCTTCTGAAACCTCTCATCGGCACATTTTGTTTTCCCCCGCATATATGTATGTATATATATATATATATATATGTATCTATGTGGATCCTGATTCTGATCAGCGTCACCCGTACGTACACTACAAACTTTATTACCGCGTCTCGAAATCGTACCTGCAGGTCACTTACTACTCGGCAGAACGCACCGTCTCCTACGAACCTACGCTATAATGAAAATAATGGTATTGCTAGTTACGGTGCCTAGGCTGCAATGAACGACAACCCCCAAGGTTTAGAAGCGCCATCAGATTTTCTAGCTTCGTCTGCTAAACCAACTTGGGTTCTCGTTGTTGGATGCTTCAACTCGCACCTTCCTGGCCGAGGAAATACTCTCACTAGTAGACGCGATGCTCCGATCCTCCACCAGGAATCAGTGACAACAACAAATGTCTTAATCAAAAAAGAAAGCAAGAAAGAAAGAAAGAAAGAAAGAAAGAAAAACAACCATCATCGATTTCCAGGTTACCAAGGATAGACTCCATACACCAGGAACTTTACCATTGGCCCGCAACTTGACAAGTTACAACTGCTTTCTTCTGAAAATTGACCGCACAATGGACGACTGGAAGCCCTCTTCAGGATTCCTAGAACTGACATTCAGGAACCCATTCGATGGGAAACGGCCTCCGTCCACGTCCCCGTCCCCGAGCTGTACATGTCTGGATTCCATCTCGCCGGTCTCGATGCCAGAACATACTTCAGTGGACGCGTGCAGATCTGCCACCTTGGAATGTTTCCCAGCCACCATGGTCACGCAGCAGCTGATCCTCGACGACGGCTTGCCGTTTACAGTTACAGATTCCACGAGCGAGGGACCGAGTCCGTCTGAGGAAGAGAAGCTTACAACAGCGACTTTCACCGACAGGACGGTGCCTTCGGCCAAGCCCAGCCCCAGCCTGCCTCGAGCCACACCAGCAACGACGCGCAGAGAGAGCATCACAGGGCTCTTCAGTGACAGTATCGAAGATCATGGCGTTGTCTTCGATGGTAGCACGGACTTCTTGATGACGCCGAAGCTATGTGAGCAGAGACGAGCAACGATTGAGTCCTCGAGCTGATACCGTGTTAGCACCAGCACGTTTCTTCAGCTCTCCCCAGAACACTACGACGACAGCTTCGGGAGCAAATTCTGTCCAGTCGACTCAATCTAGAAAGCCCTTTGGATCGTTTGCCTCCTCGGAAGGAGGCGAGTGGATGTACGCCTCGGAAGGAGGGGAGTGGATGTACGATGAAGTGCGCGAACTCACTGACTCCATTCGAACAGCTGTGAAGGTATAAAAGCGTATCTCTACGAGGAGGGCCCGATTCTAACATCACTTCAGAGCGTTGGAGTAATTTATGGTGAGAGTGCTGCCGAGCTTGACGTCGTGATATCTGCGCTATTGTTGGAAGAGACTTCGCCGGATCCGACTACTGCACTCGATTTGATCATCCACACGCATTTCGACAAGCTCATCAAAGAGATCGTGGCATCCAAACTGTTCAATGCTGCAGATTTAAACTCCCAGCTTTACGGGATATTTACTAAAGCGGAGTCACTGGAGAGAAAGTGGCAGCGGCGTTTCAAAGTATTGTACTCCGACATTGACAAATACCGCACGGAGGAAATGATGCGCAGTGGTATTCTCCATGACCTGAAAATAGCTCCTAAAGAAGAAAAGGGGCATATGTGGATTGTTGACAATCCGAGATGCCCAGATTTCGCAGGAAGTTTGGACCATAATCCGGGGGACTGGTGGCCCAATTTGCATTGTGCCTATCGTGACGGCATTGTTGGACCAGGTAGTCGACGTCCCAAAAAAATGCAGGGCATTGATGAGCACGCTGACTTCAACCAGTTGAATCCGCCCTTACGAAAGGAAAGGCTGGCGTAGTCGCACTGGCCTTGTTGACCGGACAGGAAGTCAACGGCCCGACACTGAACCTCATCGACTACACCAAGGTAGGGAAGAAGCAGGACATGTTCTTCAGTCTGATGAGCTGCCGCCACCCCATCCGAATCTTGAGAGGCTGCAACCTGAGAAGTAAATGGGCGCCCGCAGCTGGAATTCGTTACGATGGATTGTGAGACAGCGTCGTTCCCAACCAAGTGATCCTTTACTGAAGGGGGAGAAAAAACAGATTCCATGTCAGGCATTTCAGCCACAGGCTTCTTGATCAAAACCAGAACACATATCGATACTCGCTCATGCTGGAGAGAGTCCCCGGTCAGGTGTCTTTCAATGCTGTCCTTCAAGTGCCGAAGCCATCACAACTAGACGACTGGGTTTTGTATGAGGAATTAGTATGTCGGGATTATCGGGAGCGCCACGGTGACGGAGCCTTTGGTAGATGGAAGGAATTTGAAGAAGAGCAGCGGACCGAGAAAGAGCAGTTTTTGAAGGCGAAGGCTTTGCGTGAGGAGATAAACAAGGTGAGTCACGGGGGAGGCTATGAGGGATGTTCGGGCCGGGAAAACGTGTTGCCTTGGCCGAAAATATACCGACCGACCAGGACTGACCGCAGTGGTGGTAGTACCGGGAGAGAAATCCGAGTTATCGTCTGGAGTGATCATCGATACAAATGCTGGGAGTATCGGGCACTTGGGAGAGATTCACGTGATGGAAATATCCGAGGTCGGGCTGTTGTGCGTGGATCCTACCTAAGGAGTACCGTTATACTGTACCAGTAGTTGTATATCCTCATTGGCCCCCGTCGCTAGCGGTGGCTGGAGCAGGGCCCGGGCCCACCGCGGTTAGTCTGGTGTGGCGTCAGTACAGAATCTTTTTGATATTCGCTTCTGAGGTGAATTGGTGACCTACTCCCCCACACATCTACACGCTCACCTTTGAATTCGCAAACCACCCTGAGAGTGAATCGTAGACAGACAGCCCCAGCCCTAAATACCTTCACCTCGCCCACCATGGCTAGCTCCATCCACAATGAGGCAATGGAAGAGCCTCCGCACAAAAAGCTGAAAACCTCACCCGCAACATCCTCTTCTATTTCCACAACCACAACCACAACCACAACTACAACTGCACCCACGCCCACAGCCTCAACCTCAAACCTTGCCGATTCCACGGTCGCGCAACCAAATCCTACAGCCACAGCCACAGCCACACCCAAACCCAAATCCGCCAAGATGGAAGACTTGACCATGAGACTCTGTTGTTATGGTGACGGCGCCGTCGCGAAGAAGGAGGTCAATGTCGGTATCAAGTGCTTCGTGAACGAGGAGAACCCCGGCTTCCAAGGAACCCTCAAGACCAGGTACGTGATCAGTTCTTTCCATCCTCTTTCAATTGAGCTCTCTGGGTGATCGGTCTTACGGGGACATTTACTGACTCACATGCGGCCCTCAGATACACCGACTTCCAAGTCTTTGAGATCGCGCCAGATGGAACAATTGTTCACCTGACCGACGACAGAGCTCCTGCGGAGAAGAAGCCTCCTGTGCCTACGTTTGGATCTGCACCTGCTATTGCTGCTTCGGCGGCTCCTAAGGTAGGTGGGAGGGAGCTTCACAGTCCGCGCACGAGTGCCTCATCTAATCTGTTTTCGCAGATCAAGAGAGAGAGTTCTGCGCCGGCTACGCCTGTCAAGACGGAACCTGCTGTTGAGGTACGGTGCCATTTCACCATGACCGCGATTCGCTCACGTGTGCATCATCTGACACTGTTCACAGGATAAGAAGGAGAGTCTTGCACCAGCTACACCTGTCAAGACTGAATCTGCTACTGAGGTACGTTGCTAATTTTCTACTTCACGATGAGAGTGATTACGCGCATGCGTGCGTTATCTGACATTAGTCGCAGGACACCAAGGAGAGTGTTGCGCCAGCTACACCTATCAAAATCGAATCTGCTGCAAACAAGGTACGTCGGAAGCTGATTTCGCTAATGGGGTATCATCTGATATATGCCACAGGAAGAGAAGGAGAATGTTGCGACTGAGCTAACAACTACACCTATCAAGACCGAAGCTACTGTCCAAGTAAGTCCAATTGGAGCATCGCCTCTTGTTCGCTCTTCCCACCCTTTCACTTTTGCAAAGGAGAACACATGCTAATCTGCAATCGATAGACTGGCCTCTCTAAGAGTTCGTGCCCAGATACCCCAATCAACCCATCTCTCCAGGTCGACGATCGGCCCAAATCCTCAACAACCCCTACCTCTCACTCCAACGCACAATTAGCCAAGAATATCGAGGCTGCATTCTCCCCCAACCGTGTCAATACACCACCGAGTGAAGATGGCTCAGATGACTCTATCATTTCTCTTGAAGACACAAACATTCTCAATCAGTGGTTTGGACCTACTCTGGTCAATCAAATGATCAGTCTCTACAAGGACATCCTCTCCAAGCCAAAGTCAAAGCTCGAGTCCTTTGGTGATGACCTTGAGTCGCAGGCTATCCCTAGAGCTGCACGCAGTCCTATTCACGGTGCTATCAAGAGAATCTTCAATTCCAAGCTCGACTCTACGACGAAAAATGACAAGATCTTAGTCTATGCCGCCTCAGCCAATAGGTCTTGGAAGACTCGGTCAGCTAGGTCTCAATCGCAAACTGACGCTCGATCTCAAATCTCTATCGAGGCTCAAGGTTCGGCTTCATCCACCCAACCTTCTTCTGGCCCTCAAAACCAAGGTACGTAATGGAAGTTCAATATCCTGTTCATGATTGTCATAACTAGGAAAATGCCTTATCCTCTTCCGAAACGTTGAATATGCAATTGCTAACTTCCATGCTTCAAACTGTAGTATCTCGTCAGAAACAAAATCCGCGTCAGCAACAACGTGGTCAGCCAACTGGCAAGCTCGGATGGCAAGACCTTGGTGGTGAGTACTTGCATTTTACGATGTACAAGGAGAACAAGGATACCATGGAGGTCATCACGTACTTGGCTTCGTGCCTGAAAATCAAGCCGAGAGACTTCGCCTTTGCTGGTACCAAAGACCGCAGAGCCGTCACCGTCCAGCGCGTCAGCGTCCGCCGCCAGTATGCAAAGAGCCTCGCCAGATTAAATGCTCACCTGTACGCTGGCCGTCTTGGAAATTTCAAGTACGAGAAGCATGGCCTTGAGCTCGGCGAACTTACGGGAAACCACTTCCACATCACCCTTCGAGATTGCCACTTCGGTGATGATCAAAATTGGACAACGGAACTCAAGCTGGAGCATGGTAATAAGGTTGTTGGTCAAGCTGTCAAGCATTTGCAACAGCATGGTTTCATAAACTACTTTGGCCTGCAGCGTTTCGGCACCTTCGGCATTGGAACCGACGAGATTGGTCTTCAGATCCTGAAAGGTGACTTCAAAGGTGCCGTCGACGCCATCCTGACCTACAGTGATGAGGTATTTGGTCCGCCTAAAGACTTCTCGGAACCCGAGTATGGCGATAGAGTCAGTCAATATGACCTCGATCGTGCCCAAGCTATTATTGCATTCCGGAACGGAGGTAAAAAGTCTGACGTGTTAGAAATAATGCCCAGAAAGTTCTCTGGCGAGATTGCGGTCATGCGTCATCTGATGACACGAAATTGCCACAACGATTATGAAGGCGCGATTATGTCTATCCACCGTAACCTCCGAAGCATGTATCTTCATGCGTACCAGTCGTTGGTTTGGAACACTGTCGCTAGTGAGCGCTGGGCCAGACATGGTAATAAGGTTGTGGAGGGGGACCTTGTTCTTGTCGTTCCGGAGGCCGCCCCAGCCGACGAAGTTGATGAGAGTGGGGAAGTCGTCGTTCACGCAGCAGCTGATGATACCGCCATTTCCCGCGACGACGTCTACCAGCGTGCTCGTCCGCTAACTGCTGAGGAGGCTGCGAGTGGGAAGTACAACATTTTCGACATTGTTCTCCCACTACCGGGCTACGACGTCAACTACCCTGCCAACGCTATCGGAGACTTCTACAAGACTTTCATGGCTGGCCCGCGTGGTGGTGGCATCGATCCTGGAAACATGCGACGATCAAACAAGGATTTCAGTCTGAGTGGCAGCTACCGCAAGCTTATGGCAGAGGTCAAGGATTGCAGCTTTGAACTTAAAGTCTACATCAACTCACTAGAAGAACTGGTCGAGACTGATTGGCAGAAGTTGCAAAAGTCTCGTGGCGAGGACCCCATGGCACCAAGAAATTTCTACCAAGAGGAACGCGGCTCAGGCCCAAACAATAAGAACGCCAGAAAGGCCGAAATCCGCAGCGAAGCTATCAAGATGAAGGATCAATACAAGAACAGTGCAGCTTTACAAGCATGGAAGGCTCTTCCAGACGCGATGCCTGGTTTGGACAAGGCCTGTGCGGATGCCGCTGCCCTTAAGGTAGCACAGAGAAAGGCCAACTACCCCGACGATCTCACTCCTGTCATCAAGGACACCTGGATTCAGACCGATCCTGAGGACTGGACGAAGAAGACCGGCGTCAAGTCTACCATCGTTCTCAATGAGAAGATGGCCAGCGAAACTCCTGTCACCAAGAGCGAGCCTGAGATTGCGGATGCTGTTGTCTCAGTTGAAGAGGCCAGCGCGGTTCCCATTCCTACTTCGCCAGCTGTCAAGGCTGAAGAGGCTGCTCTCGTTCCTGCACCTGATTCCGTTGCTTCCAGCTCAAACATGGATATTGGTTTCAAGGAGGACGAATTTGATGCCATGGATGTTGACGACGCACCGGTAAAAGGTTTCTATCCTAAGTCCACTTTCAAGCGACTCGTCACCCATGTCTCTGGCGTGCCAATCATCTGTTCCGAAACAGCCACCTACATTGACGAGGAAGGTGTCGAGCGACCCATGTTCCCTCAGGACCACAGAATTGGCGTCGTTATCAAGTTCTCGCTGGGATCAAGTCAATACGCCACTATAGCCTTGCGCGAACTGATGAAGGCCGGTGGTGTCCGAACTTTCAAGCCTGACTTCAGCCGTGGAATCTAAAGGGTGTGGAATTCGTTTCTGTCTTTCTTTCCACATACCAACTGATGATTGTATTTACACTAGGTGGTGGTATGTTTGCCACTCATAGAGTCTTTTCAAACGGCGGCATGGTGAAGCGAATTTGTGCTTCGTAAATGGGTATGCATAACGCTGATGAGCATGCATGCATGATTGGAGAATATGAATGAAGGCTTGCTCGCTATCGCGGAGGGGGGTTAGATAGATAGCATAGTAAACAAGCAGATGAATAGCACTTGAACTCACCACGCTTGCTTCCTATTTTCCGTGTCTTTCTCTGACTCCTGGGATTGATTATTACCCTCTCCCTCTTCGTCTCAGCTAACAGCCCGCGACAGCCCCTGACTGTGTGGGGAAACAAACCATCATGTTCGACCCGGATTAGCTGTTATCTAGATCTGAAAGAAAATAATGAGACTGGTTCTGATAGGTGATGCTACTCCTAACTTTACCCCTACTTATATCTTTCCGCCAGGTTCCTGCGTAGCATGACAAGTAGATTGATTATACATGCACAAGTAGATTATACATACATACATATAGGTACAGTACATAAACAGACAGACAAACCGATCAATCGATCGATCTGTTTTCCCTCTTACAAGCCAACAACATTGCCGAGTTCTTACTAAATGAATGTTTCTGAAGGCTGTATATATAGTGTATATACTACGATCTCCCTTTTAGCCTTTTCCACCTCCCCCCCCCCACCCCGAATGCATATCCATGTTTATTTAATCCGTACAGGAGGCATTTGAGTAGTGGGTGAGGAAATGCTGAACCCCGATAATAGTTACAGCTCCAGCTTGGCTTTATTCGCTGAATTGCTTGCCAGAGTGGGCCCCGTACTGCAGGTGAATTTTTTTTACATGTGCTCGTCTAGTATGTGGCGGTTCCAGGAAGCTGATGAGAGGCCTCCTAACCTTAACGCAGGAGCAGCCAGGAGATGCGGATCTCTTCGCTCGCTTCTGGAGGTACGGTAGGAAGACCTAGGGAGACCTAAAAAAAAATTAAAAAAAAGAGAGAGAGAAAAAAAATATATAAAAAAACTTAGGCACCCGAGTTCCGCTTTCCAAAACTGGAGAAGAAGTTGCACTGCGTGACGTGTGAGCTCTTGCCCGTGCGCTCGTCGAAGATGTTGCAGCCTTCTTTGGCGGCGTTGGGTGGTGTGTAGACTAAAAAGAAGAAGAAAGAAAAAGATAAAAGCCATTAGCTGTTCTGGTATACTAAACTAGCAGAGGGATGGTACGAATCAGGGGTTTATAGAAGGAGAAGGGAGGACCTACGATGGAGACTGACGGCCTCCTCGTCTGCACTTGGGTTGGAGATCTTGTGTAGGCCCAGGTCGTCAGCCATGTAGGTGACTTCTCCCTGGCCCAGGACGGTCTCCTGGATGGCTCGGGGCGGGGCATCGTTGTTGGCATCGCAGGCATGGAAACGTGTCTCTTTGAGGGACCCCTTGAGGACTTTCATCACGCAGTGGGCATCTGCGTGGTCGTGGATTGGACTGCCTTTGCCTGGTGTCCACACGAGTATCAACTGTTGGATGGTCAGTGACTTTTTTTTCCCAATTGGTCTTTTTGCCAGATTCGTACGAAAGACCTGTTCACAGGCCGCCCAATTCGGTAGGATCTGGCTATTTCTAATCTTTTTAAGGAGGGTGGGTAGGTAGGTAGGGACACTTACAAGGTTACTCTTCCCATTCCCTTCATCGACCAGGTTTCTCGTGTACCCTCGACTTGTGTCCGCAAAAGCATATTTCTTCCAGTCCGTCTCCCTGGAGGTGTAGTTCTTCATGAGACTACAAAGCTCGTCCACGTTCACGTCTGAAGAGTCGATGCCGGATGATGGGCCGAGGATCCCAGAGAGGTCGGAGACGAGCTTCTTGAATGGATTGGAAGACTCCTGGGGGTCTTGGATAGCCGAGGGTACCATGGTGAGATATACTCCGAGTTGGTGATGATGTCTTTGAGGCCGAATAGAGAGCTCTGGCGATATAGCTACAATCACCAATGTCGAGATCCTTTGTCCTTGAAGCCGAGGCTAGTACATGAGCACAAGTTATGAAAACGAAAAAGAGATGGCTGCCAGGGAAAGAATTATTAATAGAGTGAATGACCCGAGATCTACCCAGAAGCATATATGACTGACTGACTATATACAGATTTTCGCAATTGAAATCATGAAGCACGTCAGTTCAACGAGCCAAATGTGACTTTCCACCCCTCCAACATTTTTGTGGGGCAAAGGCCACTGCCCCTCCATTAAAGATGCCGTACCTGATTACATCACAACCCTTCATCCAGTAGTAGCCAGCGCTACCTTGAGCAGCTTCGTATCTCTCTGCGGCCTCCCCTTGAAGCTGCGAAATCTGCTGCGAAGATGGGAAAAGGCGGCGACAAGGGCGGTGCCGCGAAAGGGAAAGGCAAGCCGGCAGGCGATAAGGAGGAGAAGGGGGGGAAGGTCAAGGGCGCACAATTCGTCAACGTCCGACACATTCTGGTATGGGGGCTTCGACCTCGGATCAGAGATATACGGGGTCCATGGACACTGACTGATGGGATACAGTGCGAGAAGCATGGCAAGAAGGAAGAGGCTTTAGAGAAGCTCAAGGGCGGTGCGAAGTTTGACGACGTGGCGAGGGAGTTCTCCGAGGACAAGGCGCGGGCTGGTATGCGATCCTTCTTCTTGCTAGGCATATTGGGAATACAGGCTGACAGGAATGTAGGTGGAGCTCTGGGGTGGAAGAAGAGGGGTGATCTGGATCTTGCGTTTGAGGAGAAGGCTTTCGAGCTGGAGGCTAGCACGCTTGCGAGTCCGAAGTATGCAGAGGTCAAGACTGGGTTTGGGTATCACATTTTGATGGTGGAGGGTCGGAAGTAAATGATGTGAGAATTGAGAGTGGGATCTGAGGTATAGTTGCATACCCAGGAAACGATAGCTGGTTTAGGTAGGAGAGGGAACGTGGAGTTTGGGGCGTTTCAACAGTGTCAGTGTCACGTAGCCATACTTTGACAGAGATTCCCAACAAACATAGTCTTCCAAATGCTGCCCTCATATTTTAGGTTACATCTCAAAGGAAAACCTGGCAAAAGCCGGAATGTCTAACCATCGACAGTAACTCCATGTGACCATCCATCCGTTTTTGAATTTACTGCTCGGTCTGGAAGTAGTTGAGGAGGATCGATCGCTCTTGAGATTCCTCACCCCAGTCCTTAACGACAACGCACGAGCAGTTGACAACCTTGCGTGCATTTCCCTCACGGTCCAGAACACCTGAACTCCTGGTTAGAACGCGAGCCGGTACTCCAGTACGGGGTATGCTTACACAAACCAGCCCACTCGCCCAATTGCTTTCCGTCAGGAACCTTGATCAGGGGGATGCTGTGCTCAGAGCAGAGCGCAACGACCAACTTCTTGTATGCCTCCTCCTCGCATGCCTCATCTGTCCAGCAAGTTAGTGTATGGCCTGGGGTCTTCCGGATATGGTGACGTACTCAGGACGCACATGTGTGCTTGACGACGATCAAGAGCCTTTGAGGCTTCGCGCAGACCACGCGCAAGACCGTCGTGCATGAGGGCGAGCTTGAGAACACCCTTGAGGGCGTCTAGGACAGACATTTGTCCCTTGGATGCGGCATCTCCAGAAACTTCAACCTCCTCGGCCTCGGCGACCTCGACTTGTGGCTCTTCTTCTCCGTCAGACTAGGCATTGTTAGTTGGGTTTTCTAACTCTCTGTGTTGTGGCACTCGAGATTCGAAAGTGCGCTTCAACATTCGCAGCAACTGACGAGACGAGATGCGAAAATTTCAAGGGATGAAGTTGCAGTCGTGCGAATCGCTGATATCGGAAGGGGAGCAACGTACCATCTTGATTTGTGGTGAGATGGCTAGATTTTCCTCGAAGATTGATGTATTTCGAAGGAAATATTTCTAGACAATTAGACTTAAATGTGTGGTGGCCGTCGAAGCGAATTTGATCGCCAGCCAGTTTAGGCCTAGCTAGGGCCTAGTGCCCAGCCAAGCCCACACGAACTTTACCCTCGAAATTCTCAGGAAAATGGTCTTTATTCCTCATCAGCACCACGACACATCGCCATTCAACCAACAACTCTTGAGGTATGTATCACTCACAGCTCCACACATCAATCCAAAGGCTCCGTTCTTCATGAAAGGCAGAGAGAGCAATCGGCATCTACTCAGTCTGCGACTGGGAGCTGAGCGGCCGAGGAGACATTACCCCGGGCCTCTAAGCTCTCCTCCACCTGCGATGCGACCATAGCAGCTGAAAGATGTCGACACTACTCTTCTCTTACGACGAGCTGAAGAACCCTCTTGTCACTCTTGAGGGCACTCTCCACGCTCAGAGCCCATGAAGGCTAACATGCAGCGCGCCGCAGATACCTCACCTCTTACAAATTAAAAGACTTGAGAATCTCCATCAGTCAAAATGGTTAAGACCTCCGTTCTCAACGATGCGCTCAACTCCATCAACAACGCGGAGAAGTCTGGGAAGCGACAGGTCCTCATCCGCCCTTCCTCCAAGGTCATCGTCAAGTTCCTCAGCGTCATGCAGAAGCACGGTACGTTGGCTCGAGTACATATCATTATCTCCTGTTCGGCATGATAACTAGATGACGGTCTCACAAACACTACGACCAAAGTCCTTTAAGTTGCCGATATATTGATTTGCGAGGATCTTACACGTTCTCTGATTTTCTCCTGACGTTACACGTTTAATCTATCGCAACATACTAATACCTGCATCAGGATACATTGGAGAGTTCGAGGAGGTTGACGACCACCGCTCTGGCAAGATTGTCATCCAATTGAACGGCCGGTAAGTAGCCCTACCTTTCCCTCAACTTGAGCAGATGCTAACATGATTCTCCTCAGTCTTAACAAGACCGGCGTCATTTCCCCCCGTTACAACGTCCGCCTCGGTGAGCTTGAGAAGTGGGTCGTTAAGCTCCTGCCATCGCGTCAATTCGGTTACATCGTCCTTACCACCTCCGCCGGTATCATGGACCACGAGGAGGCCCGTCGCAAGCACGTTGCTGGAAAGGTCATCGGGTTCTTCTACTAGACGTTGAGACAAGTTGCGGAGAGGGGCGTTCGGAGTACCATGAGCATGTAGCTATCTACAGCAGATACTCGGATGAGATGTCCACAGTATCTAGCGGGTGATACCCAAATTCGTTTTCTGCTGCGTGCATAATTCGATATCTCCTTAGGGAGGTAGATAGCACTACACCAAAAGTCAATTCACACTCATGAGCTCGCAAAATAATGCCCATGTATTTTGCTTGTTAGTTTTGCATCTGTGCTGTCTCTTATCTTCGGCTGTGTGATCAAGTGGTCTCGCCTGGCCGGCCACTCCATGTTGTACGAAGTTTACTGCCTTTGGGGTGCTACATTCATTGGCAGGCTTTCAAGCGCCGTCATGCATAGCCAACTCTGTTTAATGGTCCACGAGAAAGGACGATGGCTGGATTGAAGACCTCTCACTATAAATTTCCTGCTTTAGTCAAATAATAGGAAGGGCACTGTGAAATTCCCCTCCGCTTAAAGCCTCCTCTCGGCCCACATCTTGATCTCTACAACAGCTGTTGGAACTGAACATACTAAAACCTCAGTGCCTTCTGAAACCTTAGTAACTTTAGTGACCTGTGAAGCTTGGAATTGCAAACGCCTGACAGCCAATAGAGCCTAGCGAGTGGCGGTCAAGAGTACAGCATGTCAGACCATATGGTAGCACAGTACAAACGACCTAATAAAGTGAGGCCGTATGGTTGTCCGTTTGCTATTCCGTTCGTACGTCAGTAGCTATTTAGCAAGCTACCTCCACTCACATCGAATACGTATTCACACTTGCATCACACTTCCCTTTGGTACCAACAACAACAAGAACAACCACATCACCTCAAACTATCACATACACCAGCCAAAAGCATGGATCTCTTCAAATCCATTGTCGACTGCCTCACGGGCTCCTCGCCCTTTAACGACTCTGCATACTAAACCATCTCCGAGAACCCAGCCAACGACCACGAGCTGGTCGCCTCCCTCCTCCAATCCCTCTTCACCACAGAAAAGACCGGCCCAGCACTCAAAGCCCATGTTGAAAGCATCGTCCACCCAGACAGCTGGACCTCCCATCTTGCTCAGCACCTCCTGGATGGCCTGGTCCACGCCCTCAATTCTAATGCCCAGATGGGTACGTCACGACCTCCTCTCGCCTTCCGTGTATGAATTTCCGAAATCTGTTGCTGACAAGAAATACGAATGATAGGAGGAGCAATGAAGGAAGCCTTCGACCGCGCCAGCGCTGCCACGGAGCTCTTCGTCCGCGAGCACCCTATCTTGGTCGGTGTCATAGCCACAGTCGTCGCCCTCGGCATCCTGGCGCTGCTTGTTCCCTGGGCAATCGAGCCGTTGGGGTTCGCGGAGTTGGGTCCGATTGAAGGTATGCCCTTACCTACCTAATTTTTCCACTGATAAGAAAGGTGATGCTGACGGGTTTGGTTGTGTCTAGGCTCTTGGGCGGCTTTGTGGCAGTCTACGTTCCCGGATGTGACTGCTGATTCGTGGTTTGCCTTCTTCCAGCGGCTGGGCATGACTTTGGGGAAGAAGTGATTGTTGTTGTTGTTGTTGTTGTATTTATTTACGTCGGGCGGGTAGCAGGCGAAGCCTGCCGCCCTGGGACCTCCCATGGGGTACGGCGACGTGCTAAGCTAAAGAGTTACATACAAGAAGGCCCTAGAAAGCAATTCAAAGTGTTGTAGCGAAGGCTACTGTCGCATGCGCCCTTCCCTTACAGATAGGATGGATCACATAGAAAGAAACCTTTCATCAAGGGAAAACCACAAAAGAGAGAGTCAAGCATGTACAAACTGCTGTAGCTAGCCAAAGGCGAGCTGTTCACGTCGCGTAGCGACAGGAATCAAGGCCGGACCGGGGTCAGCCGAGTACAAAAGAAAAGGTGAATACGAAAGCCCAAACTCCAAAAGAAAACCCAATATAATACACTAGTGCCAGAGAGAATTCCCCCGGGAGCGCACCACGCTATCCTAAAGTCCTAGTCCCGTGACGCGGTTGATCTGACGAGCCTTTACAGCTTGAGTAAGGCGGAGCGTACCCCGTTCTCCTTACCGAAGCAGTATCAGTTGGCCAGAGTAGCACCTTTATCGAGTGCAGTGCTTAAAGTAGAACTCCGTGGTGGTCAAGAAGGCCTGAAAATCGGCCGGATTGTTAAGGAGACCCTTAAGGAAGTCGTAGGCTTCCGGGATCGTGCTCGGAGGGGTCCGCGGTCGAGTCTTGTAAGGCTAAGAAAAGAAGCGTCGTTGCGTGAATCGGCAGAAGGCTATGTGCAAAAGGGACTTGCGTTTGCCGCAAGCACACTTTAGGTTAGCGTCGTAGTGCTGGAACCTAGTATAGTACCAAGTAAAGTCTCCGTGCGTAGTTCGGATCGCAAGTAGTCTATGTAGGACATATCGTAGGAGTTCTAGCTCCGAGAGGGGCTTGACTAAGTATGGAAGGCCTTATTTCCGATACGAGCGTGAGAGCTTAAGAGAGCTTGCGCTCTACCAAGCTTCTCGTGCTCTATCCCGTATATCGCGGAAAAGTGTGCGGATGCCGCTGATCGTAAGTTGCGATGCTAGACCAGTGTTTTAGTCCGGTTTCCTTGCCTTTAAGTCTGCAAGCTTGTCCGCCCGTTCGTTCCCTTTAATGCTTATGTGCCTTAAGGACCATCGTATTCGCACGTCTCGAGTCTCCATCACCCCTTAAACGTTCAAGAACGCTTATTGCGATGATAAGGAAGCATTTCCGCGAAGACACCAAATGACTGATGTGCTATCGATGCAAAGCTAGATCCGTCTCGCTGTCGGATAAGCGTGCACCACTCGTTCGAGGCCTTTCTATGCCCTTATCACCTCTGCGTCAAAGACGTAAGAGCAGTCGTTGATAGAGCCGTACCCGTGGCTTGTCTCCTATCGTCCTCGATAGACTACGTACCCGTAGCCTACCAGTCGGTTGCCTTGATCGTACTGTTCTAACCCGTTTGAAAAGATCGTGATGTCCTTTAGCGAGAGCTGTTACTACTATGCTTCGAATGCGGCAGCAGCTTCCTTCTTCGTTTTGCCGTCCGCCGGGTCCCGTCTGCTCCTCGATGTGAAGTGCGGAAAGACGAGGCGAAGGCGAAGAACGTCTAAGAGGAGAGTTCTTAGTCTTTGGATCTTGGTCTCGGGGATCTTAATAGTCCTCGCGCCGCGACCGCGTTATCGGATCCGCAGAAGTATCCGGCTGACCAATGGGTGCTTGTCGTCCACCGTCTTCAGTCTCATTGCAAACCTAGCTTTAGCTTCTTCCAAAGCCGCAGTGCCGAAAGAGAGCCCGGCATCTCGAAAGAGCGTTGCCGTTAGTGTCGTTCTCTAGACCGGGAGTACCTCGCGCGCCGCGAAGGTTATCGTCTTATTAATAAGGTCAACCATCCCTCCGACCCGAGCGCTAACAACTTCTAGTCTTCCGGACTTGCAGATTGGGCGATAGCGCCTTGCGTACTACGCCTCCGTGCCGTAAAGCACCGAAGGCAGCACGCAAGTAGTAACTGCCTTGCGCAATGAGGCCGCAGAAAGACCGTGGACTGTCTTAGCGAGACTGCGGATGTGCTAGGCGACTTTCCTAGCTTTAGCCGCTCGTTCCCGGACGTGTCGGCGGAACTTTAGCTTGCGGTCAAACCAGACCCTAAGCTATCGTATCGCAAGTGTGTCTTCGTCCTTCGGACCCGTGGTGATGCACGGAATGGTCATGGTATCGACCACGAGAGGAGGGGCATACGTGCTTTTCTTGCGAGAGAAGTGCATTATCTCGATCTTCTCCGGAGCGAAAGCGATCTTGTGAGTGTTACCTTACTTAATAATAGAATTGACATCGTCTCGAAGCATAGCGATGTTCCGGTCGAAGGTGCGACTGACGCGATACAAGCAGATATCGTCAGCGTACCCGAAGCGCAATGTCCGGTCTTAGTTGAGTAGCTCAGCCAAGTAAAGCATATAGAGCACCGGTGATAGCGGGGATCCTTGCGGAGTGCCGCACTTTACGTCGTAGGTGTCCGTGATTTCTTTCTCTAATCGGACCCTGACCTTACGGTCTAAAAGAAAGGATTCCACTAGCTTGAGCAATGGGTACGGCCAGCCCTGCTCCGTTATGCGTTTAAAGAGGCGACGGGTCAAGACCGCATCGAAGGCTCTTTAGACGTCCATGGTGACCATGGTGACCTAGTATCCAGCTGCAAGTGCGGACTCGATGTCGTGTGTTAAGCACGAAGCGAAGTCTAATGCAAAGCGCCGTAAGAGGGCTCCCGCGTGTTGTAGGCTAAAGACGTCGTTAGTAAAGGCAGTCTACGCAATTCTCTTCGCAACGATGCGCTCTAGTCCTTTAGAGATGCACGAGAGCAGAGCAATCGGTCGCTAAAAGCGGATAGAGGTTTTGTCCTTTTTCCTTACCTTAAGGATCATCGAGACCTCGGCGAGCTTTTACGCATCCGGGAAATAGTGAAGAGCCAAGCACCTGTTGAAGAAGCTATAGAAGAAGTGATAGACGTGTTGCTAGCATGCTTTAAGCAGTCGTACAGTGATCTTGTCCGTCCCGAGTAAAGTGCTTGTCACCCCGATCACGTAGGACTCCACTTCTTTTAGTGACACCGTAGTATCCTAAAGGAGCCGGCCAGTGCTTTCCTAGCTAGCGAGTGGATCGTAGTCGAGGTCGTCGGCGGCGCTAAACCGTCCAAGGATGCCTTCTCGCAGCGCGTCCGCCTTTTCTTTAGTGTCTTCGATAGCTTCGTCGTTGACTATTAAAAGGGGCGATTTCAGGTTCGGAGTGAGCTTGTGCCAGCTCATGACCTTGTACAAGTCTTGGTCCGATTTCACTCCGTCGATCACGTAGGTCCAATAGGCCCTCTTGGCTTTCTTGACTATAGCGAGCCAGTCTCGCGTTTCTTAAGTCGGTTCTCCGTCGTACACTACAGAGCGCGCTGCCAAGTGTTTCTTGTACGCTGTCTAGCAGTCTGCCGTCCACTATAGTGCAGCCGTCAGCCCCTCTCGAGCGGGCTGTCCCGCAACTTCTAAGG